TCACACAATTCATAGAAGAGAAACGTGTGCTGGAAGAAGATGTCTATGTCGATGACATCTTGACATCTCATAACAACCTTGACCACCTGAAATCTTGCATCCAACATCGAGCAGATCCTTAAAGCTGGAGGATTTTTCATGAAGCCCTGGGTCTACTCTAGTCAAAGTGAGAGGCAGGAGTCAAGAGAAGGTAACATGGAGGGAAAGACTATGATCTTGCCTAACCAGCTCACTAAAAAGGATAACAAAGCCCGGTCTGGGTTACACTGTTGAAGATGACAAGCTGCATGTCATGGTTGCAGTGAATTTTTCCAAGAGGAAGAAGAAAATGCGCCTTGGTCAGGACCTGATAAGAGAAGAGGTAAGAGGACAAACCCCAAATCCTCTTACCAGAAGAGAACTGTTAAGTCAAGTCTCTGCTCTCTATGATCCACTTGGCCTTGTGACTCCTGCAAAGCAGAAAGGAGCAATTCTGGTTCGAAGGGCTTTTCAGGAAGCAAAGCTAATGTATTGCACAAAAGATACATGGGATGCTGCTCTGTCCGAAGAACTCAGAGAGGATGCCGTAAAGCTGCTAGAAGAATATGCTGACCTGAGCCAACTCAGATTCATCAGATCCCTGACACCACCAGACCCACATGCAGGTCCAATTGGCATCACATTTTCTGATGGCAGTGAGCATGCATATGGTGCTGTGTTGTACCTGCGTTGGGAATGCACTGATGGTGTCAGTGTGAGGTTGGTTGAGTCTAAGGCCAAGCTGACTCCTCTTAACCGTAATGGTGACCCCGTGAAAGCGGAGGTATGTGGAGCAGTCTTTGCAGCCCGGCTAAAGACTTATTTCCAGAAACATTGCCGAATCAAAGTTGAGAAGTGGTTCCATCTCGTTGACAGTCAAACTGTCTTGGGTGCAATACAGCGAGAGAGTTATGGATATCAGACCTTCTTTGCTAACCGGGTTGGAGAGATCCAGAGCAGCACTAATGTCCAAGACTGGTGGTGGATTCCAGGATCAGCAAATATTGCAGATGTTATCACCAGAGGAGCAAGTCCTGCTTACTTAACCGAAAACTCAGAGTGGCAGTTGGGTGCAAGTTTCCTTCAACTTCCTGAAAGTGAGTGGCCAAAGAAATCTGCAAATGATGTCGCTGTGCAAGCAAGAGACAATGTTATAAAAATACAGAAGAAAACATTTGTTGCTGTACTTACCCGAAGTCAGCAGAAAGAACAAAATTCAATCAGAGTCCAGCATAAATTGATCATCTCGAGGAGGCCACCTGCAGCTGCAGTAATCCAGCAACTAGTGGACGTGAGGGACTTCAGCAGTTTGAGGAAGCTGATAGGAGTAGTTGCATGGATTTGGAGAGCAGCAAAAAAGTTCCTGCATGTCAAGGTCACAGATAAAGAAAAGTGGGAGGTGGTCCCTTTATCTGGTGTCATTACAGTTGGCGAAAGAGAAGATGTGTTCAGAGATCTATGCCTGGCAGCACAAGAAGGTGTACAATTTCCAACCACAACGACTGATAGACTGGTTGTCTACAAAGATGGAAAAAGTGGGCTCTTGATGTGTGGTGGCAGAGTTCAGACTTTTAAGGAGGACCACAGAGCCGTTCCTCTGTTGCCTTTCCAATCTTGGATCTCCACCTTCTAGCCCGAGCAGCACACAGTGAAGGACATGATGGAGTAGCAGGAACTTTGTTGTGTATGCGGAAGAAAGCATGGGTCATCAGAGGACGAATCATTGCCAGAAAAGTTGTCGATGAGTGTGTATTGTGCAAAAAGGTGAGAGTGAAAACCTGTCAACAAATAATGGGGGATCTGCCTGAAGAAAGGTCTAGTCCAAGTGCACCATTTCAGTTCATATCTGTTGATTTGTTTGGCCCTTACCAAGTGAAAGATGACGTCAAGAAAAGAGTAAGCATGAAAGTTTGGGGGGTGTTGTTCTGCTGTATGTCAAGTAGAGCCATTCATGTTGAACTGGCAAACACACTATCTACAGAGAGCTTCATACTTGCCTACCAGAGGTTTACGTCCATCAGAGGTCATCCCCAGAAGGTGTGGTCTGACCCAGGTACGAACTTTATTGGGGCAAAACCCATTCTGCAAGAAATGTATGCTTACCTGAGTCAGCAAGACAAATTCTCACTTGAAGAGTATGCTGCAAAAAATGGGACTCACTGGACATGGAAAATTCTTCCAGCCGATTCACCACATCGCAACGGCGCAGCTGAAGCTGCTGTCAAGATAATCAAAAGAGCGTTTCAAAGTCTTGGCAGAGTGAAAGGCCTTACCTTTAGTGAGTTTCTTACGACGGTTAAGATAGCTGCCAATCTAGCCAACGAAAGACCTATTGATGCTAGAGTACAGAGCCATGAAGATCGAATCCAGTACATCACTCCAAACACCCTGTTGCTTGGTCGAGCTACACAAAGTGGAGATTTCAAGACATTTGACTATACCACTTATCCTTTTAAAAGGCTCCGAGAAATACAAACTCAAGTTGACTACTTTTGGAGGTCCTGGAGTCAACTTGCAGGCCCCAACTTGTTTGTCCGTAGCAAGTGGCATACTGCTGAAAGAAATGTTGCCATTGGTGATGTGGTCTGGCTCTGCGACCAAAATGCGCTAAGGGGGCAATTCAAGATGGGTAGAGTTGTTGCTGTGAATCCTGATTGCAAGGGCATAGTCCGGGATGTTTATGTGAAAGTGTCTCCAAGTGGGTATAGTTCGGGAAACACACCAAAACCTCCTGAGAAATGTTCTGGATTGGTGAAGGAGGTTCAGGGCATCATACTCCATCGGGACGTCCGGCGCCTTGTAGTGCTCATCCCAGCAGAAGACCAAGTAGAGGGAACCAGCTCGCTTAAAGGAGAAAAATGCGATCTTCTCAGGTAAAACCTTGCAAGATCGAGTGGGAGGTGTTGCGCAGATCTGCTCATTAGTTCAGATGTGGGTGCATGAATGGACATTTGTGTGTGCACACACATACACACGCAGGTATGCCACTCTGCAGCACTTCTCAGCAGGTGAAGGAAATCTGGCCCAATCAGCAGCACCATCAACTCAGGTATATAAGGAATCCACTAACCACTTTACTGGTTTTGCAACAGAGCTGAGGAAGGCAAACACAGCCTCCAAAGCAGCATTTCATGGGAAAGGACTTAGAAGGACTACCGGTAAGCCACTAACTGGGCTCAATTGAATGTAATTTGACTGTAGTTTTACATTTGAGAAATGAAATGAAGAATTTATTGAAGTAACAGTTTGCACTGCTAGTTTATAGTTTGGTTCCACTAAATGTATGTTAAGATATCTAATGTAAAAAACCTTATGTCCTAAGGAAAAAAAAAAAAAAAAAAAAAACTGTAACTCTGAAGTGTGATTTGTTTGATTTGTTTGATTCAAATTCAACCAGACATGAAATTTAATAATTTAATATTGTGAATTTAAGGTTAAAAAATTTAATTAATCATTAAGATAAATTATTAACTTTGAACCAAATGTCTAAAATGTATGTTAAAATATTTTGTATGTGTTTTTGTAGGTTTTCACCTGTTCTGTGCATTGGTTCTCACTCATTGGTGAAAATAAAAAGGATTGAGTGAATTCCTGAAGTTCAAGTCCTCCTTTTCAAGTGTAGGAAACCATGAAATTATAAGACACTTGACAGTGCTTGAGTTTGAACAATAAGGCCTTCGGCACTTACTTTAACTTTTACTTTGGAAAAGAAAACCTCAGTGGTGGGTACAGACACCATGCCATAAGATTCCTACTGGGAACATCCTTTTCAGATTTTTCACCTTGTTTGGTTGCATCAGGTTGCATAAGACCCCTCTCTCTCTTCCTTTGAATATCTTCATCTTCTGAAGAGGTCTTACAGGGTCAGATATATATATCTTGACTGTTAATGACCACAGTCAAGAATCATCACCAGGGGTAGAAACCACAAGAATGCCCAGCGTTACTGTAGATGCTGACGGCTGTGTGACGGTCTGTATTACAGCAAGTTTGTTAGGTATTAGATGATAGCACAGTCATGTCCAACTGTGCTGTCATCAGTCGGACAGATAATGTTAGTAAATAACGTGGAAATTTCCCAATGCTTCCACACATCTAAGTCTTCCAAATGTTGAGGTATGGAATTGTTTCCAGAACTGATCCCAGGTCGTGGTCTGGGATAAACAGCTTCTGTGAGTAAGGTGCAGAAAATACTCTTGATTATAACGGGGGGTTGGGAATCTTCTTGAGACAGTGTAGTTAATCTAATCCAAGCTTTTTGTGCCATGTCATTCAGACATGAGAGCATGGACTACTAAAGACATGGAATTATTAGGATAGCCCCAACTTAGCCAATGAGCACAACTGATTTATCAAAGCATAAACCCTTTCAGATTTGCTGTGGTATCTGATGTAAAACATTTGGTCTATTAGTGTTGAGATTAGACTTCATTAGTCAGCAGATGCATGATTAGGTTGAAGTCTGGATGATTTGAAGTTGAGACAACACCCCAAACTCATTAGTCTGTTCATCAAGCCGTTCTTAAAGCCTCTTTATTATGTGGCAGCTATCGTTAAGAAACAAGACACTACTGGTTGCAGGGGGGAAGAGAAGTACCTATTCATTGGGGATTTAAAGAGTAAAAAGTGTCAGCAGCAACGTTCAGCTGGATAGCTTTGGATATCCAGCTATTAGCTATTAGCTGTTAGCGACAACACCACCAATTGGCCCAGTATACCTACTACTTCATTGTCTGGTTTTGCAAAACCACATTAAACACCATTTTTCTACTATTTATCCTTGTACATCATGCTGATTTACAAATAAAGACATATTTTGCAAATGTGTAAAATATCATATTCATGTCACATTTTGGTTTGTGGAAGTCTTTTTCAGTCTTAAACTGAGGAGACCAGGAAGCTATGATTTGACTTCTTGTCTTCTCCACCTGCACAATTATTTTTTTTATCATTTCTAAATTCATTGTTTGTCCTTCTGCTAGGTTCTCCACCCATCTCCCCTTTTGAGCCCGGAGAAAGCTCTCAGCAGGAGGAAGGTACAGTGATGAGGAGGAGTGAGAACTACCTACCAGTCCCTGGTGAGGACAAAAACCTGGATGGTGACTTCAATGGGAAGACCACGAATGATGAGTCCGTGGTAAGACTCTTCTGGAATCCTGCAGACCAGGAGTTTAACTCTGGAGGGTTTCAGGCTCATCTAGAAGGGAAGTGTACCAAGTTAGGACTGCATCTTGTGTTGGACTTCAGGTGTAAAGTTTGGGTAAACAGAATTGTCTGTGGGGCTTGATAGGCTTAGAGAGTGTGAGATAATTAGAATGAAAACAAATTTAATAATGATTCATGTCAAAGACATTCAGCATGCATTGCTGTGCAGAAAACATTGCTTCAGAGTAGTTTCTTTAATATTTAATTTTTCCTGCCCTGTATATTGATGCAAAATCTGTCTGTGATACAATCTGTTTTGCACATTAATACCAGAATAAAACTAAACTTGAGCTCAGACATCTCTAGGACTTTTCTGTAGTTCACTGTTATTCTGCTACTGTTTACTCACTGGTGGAAACTAGAAATTATGTAGCTGAAAATGCACTGGCTCAAAGTGAAGGCCTGTTTCCAGCTGTAAATCTATCTGTTCAACTAAAATGAAGGCAGCTTTCTTTTCAGCTTGTTGGGTATGACATTAAAATGTTAGACATGAGTATTTTTGATCCTGAAGAAAGAGGCTTACGGTACCAGATAAAATTGCACAGATGTTTCTCTGTCAGTGAGACTTTTGGATTATCTAATGTGACCTGGTCACATTCACAGCTGCTGTTTTAAAATGATCATTAATGTATGTTTTGATGAATGAACTGTTGCAAAGTGTGGTAGCTTTTACCTCATTACAAAATCTCCACATATCAATAGTGATAAATAGACCATTCATATATTGAATAGTGAGAGAACCAGAGAAACTAGTCAGGTATTAGAGTTTTCTTGGTAGAGGAATATAATACAACTTGCAGATATTCAACTATCCCTCATATTTCAAGCGAAAATATATCACAGGCAGAACTATTGTAATGACATGTTGCTTCCTCTTTGTAATGGAGACTAACTTGTATTATTTCTTCTTTTTCTGTAACCATCAGACTCCTGAAATGATATCATTTTCCAAGCCCCATAAACACACAGCTTTGCAGCTGTGTGTAATTCAACTGTGTGCTTTGCAGCTGTGTGTTTATGGGGCTTGGAAATGTAAAATTACAGGAAATGTAAAATTCTAAACATAAAGTAACACATTTTTAAAACTGCAAGGAGCTTCAATGAGCCATTGATTTAGCCATCGATCACCCAATGACAAAAAGTAGTCCCATTCTGTCAAACTAAACCTGAGACGGTTTGATGCCAGATGATCTTAATGTATGCTGTACAGAGATCCAGAAAGACCAAGACAAGTTTCTGATGGTTAAGATTTCTAACATTTGACTGAGACTACCTTGATAGAATTCTTGCTGGGGTTTGGTACAAAGCAGATTTGTTTAATCAAAGAGGTGTACTATTATTGGATTTATTAAATGGCCTTTACTAAATATGCTAGATTATTTATAGTCCTTCTTACTGACACCTTCAGATGAGGCTTTTTTAAGTGTAGTTTGGTATAAACAGTTCTGTGGAAAATGATCTGAGCAAAGACAAAATATTTATTATCGGTGTCATGTGAGGTGGAACATAATGGAAGAGCATTCATCAATGGGAGAACACAAAATTCAGATTTCACTCTCAAAATGCTTTTTTGTCTTTTTGTGGCCCTATTCTTCTTTCATTCAATATACCCAACATTTTTCTGTACAATACAGAATTCGACGACTAAAAATAAAATGAATGCAGGAGCGTTTCTAAAGGCACAGGAGAAATAAACAAGCCACCCATACTGGCACCACATCCTGTTTATTTACTCAGAAATGATACATTCAGAATGTCAGAATTACAAAATTACATAAACAGACTTTTCAGTGTTAAGGCATCATTTTGATAAAGTTGATGTGTGTTATTACAGAGGCTTTGGAAATTTATACATTTCTTATTAATTATTTATTCAGACTGCTGGAGCAACAGGGGGACAATGGGTAACAGCAGCTTTGATTATAGTGTGATATGATATGAAATGATGATGACGTTGACAATCCCAATGTCTGAGTGATGCACATACATCGGGCCAGAGGGAGCTGGAGGGGAATAATCAGGGAGTTTAAAAAACACACACAGCTTTGAGTAGAACCACTAGCCTCTTTATTAGGTACATTTTGCTAGAGCTGCTTGGAACAACCTTTGCCTTCAGCAGAGCTTTCATTTTGGGTCTTAAATTCAACAGGAGATCAGAGTGGGCTATCTCTCTTTAATATATTCTTCTCTAACTTACATTTCTGTAATTCAGAAATGTCCTTCTAACTTCCAGAAAGACATTTGTCCTACTTCACATGTAGCATTTGGTTTGGGTATTATTTGTAAGGATTATTGTTTCAGGTTGCTCTGCAAAGTGTTCGTCTCTCAGAGAGGGACTTTTTCACAGTCAGGTGTTTTCGCCATCTTGCTGAATTGAGGTTGAAATTTTAGGCCAATAATTAAATAATTGTGCAGCTACCACAGAACTCTAATACCTTCTAGTATTCTAACTCTTCAGTGTTTGGACCGCAACAACTCATACACACACTCAAGGTAAGGCATCCTTATCAAATTCATTTCTATACAGAAAGCAGGTGGGTTTAGTGGGAAACCAGAACACACTTGTGACGATAGAAACTTGGGTCATTACTGGTCATTATTTGTTCTCTAAATGTGCTCTGAGCAACATGTTCTGTTAGAACTGACACACACACTCAGGTCCTGTTAACATGCTTCCTAAGTGGACAGCTGTGAGCCTACAAACACATTGGATTAGCTGTTTGTTTTGACTTGTTATGTTTGACAGATGTATTGTCAGTGTTACTGAGCCGGATGCATACATCAGCTCCTGGTAAAAATGTTCTGATTTCATATGCGTACCATGACAGCTGCAGCTTCCACGTTATTTCAGAGATGCTGTGAAATGCAGCAGGGAGCCGGAAACTGTTGAGCTGATTGTGGCTTAGAAGCATTTGTTTGTGTGTGTTGTTCACATATGTGGGGGAGGTTCTGTGTGTGTGGAAGCCCGAAGGATAGGAGAGGCTCATTTCCTGACAGCTCGGTGAGAAAGGCTCTCCTACTGCATACACCACAAGATCCTCATCTGCCCTGTGAGATGTGGCCTGTGACCTTCGCAGCTATGACTACTTCCTGTTTAGAAAGGGCTGAATTTGCGTGTGAATCTGTGTACATCATACAAATGCAGGACAAGCACACAAGCTTCTCATCGGGTAGTAATGGTAATTACAAAAACACAGCCACAGGAAGTTTGTGTCTTCAGAAGCATTTTTTTTTTATGGTCATCATGAATGTCTGCTCTTTCAATGCTGGTTTAGATTTTATTGCAGGTCCACCACCTGAGTTCCTCAGCCTCAGCATACTGACTCACCTGTGGAGGACTTCTATTGAAAACCCATCATCACTTCACAGCAGGGAACATTTATGACTTTTGGACTATAGGGCTGGGTGATATGGTTGAAAAGTGGATCGTGACATAAACATTTCATATCAGTCAAATTATTATTATTGATTAATTGTTTTGTTTTGAATAACCAAACTGCTGATGTGGTATTTCCTCTTTGGTCCACAATTTCCTCTTAAGCAGTTATGAGGGATGGTGGTGAAACAGGAAACTGTTCCCTCAGACTCAGCCGCAGTGTGTGTGTGTTCTGTGAACCATGTGCACTGTATGAGGGTTGAGATTTTATAGTCACTGTATGAGGGTTGAGATTTTATAGTCACTGTATGAGGGTTGAGATTTTATAGTCACTGTATGAGGGTTGAGATTTTGTAGTCACTGTATGAGGGTTGAGATTTTATAGTCACTGTATGAGGGTTGAGATTTTGTAGTCACTGTATGAGGGTTGAGATTTTATAGTCACTGTATGAGGGTTGAGATTTTGTAGTCACTGTATGAGGGTTGAGATTTTATAGTCACTGTATGAGGGTTGAGATTTTATAGTCACTGTATGAGGGTTGAGATTTTATAGTCACTGTATGAGGGTTGAGATTTTATAGTCACTGTATAAGGGTTGAGATTTTATAGTCACTGTATGAGGGTTGAGATTTTATAGTCACTGTATGAGGGTTGAGATTTTATAGTCACTGTATGAGGGTTGAGATTTTATAGTCACTGTATGAGGGTTGAGATTTTGTAGTCACTGTATGAGGGTTGAGATTTTATAGTCACTGTATGAGGGTTGAGATTTTGTAGTCACTGTATGAGGGTTGAGATTTTATAGTCACTGTATGAGGGTTGAGATTTTATAGTCACTGTATGAGGGTTGAGATTTTATAGTCACTGTATGAGGGTTGAGATTTTATAGTCACTGTATGAGGGTTGAGATTTTATAGTCACTGTATGAGGGTTGAGATTTTGTAGTCACTGTATGAGGGTTGAGATTTTATAGGTAAATGTAGTTTACCTACATTTCTTTTGAGAAATTTTTTTATTTCTCACAATCTGAATAGACACTAGAATGTGTGATGAGCATGTTTGTGCTTTGCCCAGTTTTCTCCACCAAGGCAGCCACCACATCAACTCGTGCTACACAAAGAGCGGAAGCTGTCCCTGTGACTGATTGTGCTGACTCAACATTATCAGCTCAGTGTCACATTATAAACAATGATTATGCGTTTGTACAGGTTGACCTTTGTTGACCTTTGTGCAGATGTGACCTGCTGAAGTCTGCCTCCAGTTCACACAAGGAGTGAAGGATGACAAAGTATGTTGGGGACAACATAAAACTGTTACTTGTTGCTCAACAAGTTGTTGATAGGTAACAGATGAGCGAGAGTTAGTTGATGCCACCCTCCTTTCTTGGCTGGATGTGCAGCTAAAGCCTTTCTTCTGATCCAGAAGGCTTTGCCCCTCTGAATCAGAGTTCCTGAAATTATCGACTTTTTATGCAATATTGTCTGTTGTCTACAATAATCACTATCATTTTATCTTCCTACCTTATTGTTTACACAAACAGAGCCCTAATATTAAAAATGTCACAAATTCAAAATCATCTTTGATCATTTAGCACCGCTAGATTCAGATTGCCAAGATAAGCCACCATTAATGGGGTTTTGAGTTTAACTGCTGTGCTTCAGTTTCTAACTAAATAATGCATCTATCAACACAAGATGAGGTGATGTTCAGTATTAGGATCACAAGTCTGCACATTAGGAAAACCCAAGAATCACCATTTTATTTTACATGAATGGAGTCGATGTTTAGAAACAAATTGGTTTTTCAGAAATTGTTGTCTGTATGATGATCCAGTTTTTAACAAGTCACTACATTGAAGTTCTCTTGCTTGTTAACTCTTGGGTGGTCCTAATTCTAAAGAACTATTGAAAATGCTCCCTTTTGCATTGTTTTTGTAAAACAGTGTGATTAGGAACATGAGTGCATGAGCCTGTTCTGTTTGGACCATTTTAAGTGTTTCAGATTTTGAAGCAGAGAAGATTAAATTCTGTTCTATCTCAACAAAATCTGAAGCAAATCTGAAGCGTCGTTTTGAAACACTCCAACACCAACTTCAGCATCACTGGCAGCTATCGCCTGGCTGACTGTGGGATCCTCACAAATCTTGTTTCTCACTCTGTGTTTTGTTTTTTTGTTCGTTTTTTTTATTATTATTGCAGTAAAGCAGGTAGTAACACCAATGTAAGGGTTTTAAACTGCATAGTTCTAACAAGTTTCCAAATAGTTACACTCCTTCGTACCTGGCACTCAGTTACCAGGCAATGTCACATTCTGACTGCAGCTAAAGAATGTTTTGCCAGACTGTCTTCACTTTAGAGAGAAATGTCTCGGACCTGGAACCCAACCCCCCAAAGACTGCTTTGGTAGAAATTTGTGCAAACCATCTGCCATCAAATTAATAACTGTACTTTAACTGTTTGAGTCTCGAATAACTTGGCATACAGAGAGGTTAGTGGTCGGGCTCACAGGTCCTGTGATGATAAAATGAGCCAACAAGCTACCTTGTTTCCTACTGTAATTATTCTCATTTCATAATGATGGAGTCAACAGACATTGGAAATTGCTTGCAACAGTTTGAATTTGTGTTACATGTAATAGCTCACCAAAGCATCAAGCTAATAAAACCTCTGATTTAATAAAAATGTTTAATACTTGTAGGTTAATCCATGAATTTGATGGACAGGGTTTATTTGCTAATTAACTTTCCTTTATGGAGTTTGATCACTGCTTTCTTTTAATAATAATTAAAAAAAAACATAATGTTGATTTTTTATAATTTTACAAGGGTTTGGTGTAACCCTATTTAAATTGACTTTCATGAGTTAACTTCTAAAAGTTAGTCTGAAATTTTAATTATTTGCATTACGAGAATTTCTTTTTCCTGAAGGCAATCAGTTTTTAACAAACCGAGATGTTCTGCATAGTTTCAGGTGATCCAGTGATGCAAGAGTGATCTGAGCTGGAAACAGCTGAAACTTCCACTCACCAACGTCACATTCTGCTGCATCAGTCACCTCTAAATCATGTTGGGTTTTCATTTGAAAGGAATTAGGCACCTGTCTGTTCAACCAACATCCTTCATGTTCACCACATAGAGAACATACATGATGGTTCAGATGAAACAATAGATGAAGTTAAGAACCATGTCAAAATCTGTTTCACTTCCCTCCATCCCAACAGATTCTTCCGCTTCTTCATAATTTAAGATGAAACTATTAAGGGAACTACCACAGGAACATGTTTAGAACATATTATTCACAGTGTTCCACTTGCTGAGTGTTGTAGCAAATGTGGGGGAATACACACTACCTTTGAACATTTTGACTTGTTTACTTGCAACTTGAGCATAACTGAACTTGGACAAAAAAATGGCAGATTCACAAAACTGATTAGCTGAAAGTCATGTCCTTATTTAGCAGTTCCACAGCAAATGGGGTGATTATGAAGAGAGAAAATTATAGGCAATAGAGAACAAAGAGACTGAAAAATATTACCCACAAAGTTTATAAAGATAAACTTTAATCTTCCTGGAAAGAATACATTTATAATTCTTTCACTCTTAGATACTTGAAGTATACAACATACATATTTAAGGGCTAAAAAAGTGAATTTTGCATGATATGTCATGCTGGTGTTTGTCTTGAAGTTTTTTCTAGAATTTTATTGAAATCTGACCTATATCATCTCGAGCAGTCCACATTAGCCGGGCAATTCAGATTTTGTTTGAAGGTTTTTTCCAACTGTCAACAGTTGCTGAACATGCGCTGATTTAGAGAAGTTAGAAAAATTAGGAAGAGGGTATTATATGAATTTTCATTCAATCTCTTCCTATTTCATGTTTTGTGTGAGATCAAAATGAAGGTAAGTTTGTGAGTGTGATGGCTGTTAACTTGTTTTACTTTGTTGTTATTAAATAACACTTTTGCTGAATGTGTCTCTGATATTCAGCCTCTGTCCTCTTTCCAGCCAATGAAAACTCTCTATGCGAGCGATGGCTCGCTCCTGCATCCGCCCCTTGGTCCGTACTTCTCTGATGGACAGCGGCGTGTGGATTATGTTCTGACCTACAGCATCCAGAAGCCCAGCGCTGTCCGGCGCCAGTCATCCAAGCTGAGTGACAATGGCCTCTTCCATCGGCTTCGGCGCATCCTGAGCTCCAGGAGTAGCCGAGCGCCGCTGCACCCAAAGGAAGACCCAGAAGTTGCAGCCACAGAACAACAAGCTAATCATCATGAGGATGACAAGCGCTTCAAGCGGGAGGAGTTTGAGCAAAACCTTCAGGAGATGGGCCTGGAGCTGGAGAAGGACGAAGGGGTGAGAGTGGTTCAGCTTGCATGTAATGGGATATGTTTTTATTATATTTTTAAATGTTCGTAGATGAAGTACTTGTTTCACTGGTAGATTTTTTTCACCTATGAGAAAAATGACTTCCAGTAAGTAAACAAATCTACCAGTGGAACTAGAAGTTTTTTTGTATATTTAAAAAATATTTGCTGGAAACAAGTTTGTATACCTTGCTGAAAAGTTATTTTTATGTTAGTTTTGTCCTTTTTCATGTATGCAAGGATATTTGCACTAGAAACTAGATAAATACTTGATAAGATTTTGTGTTTTTGCCGTGTAAGGAGGGCTGCTGCTGCCAGACAGACATTTTGATGAGTATAACATAATGATGATCATTTCTGCATTCCAATTTTCTTCAGTATAAATTGGCTTTCTGGACTGTTTTCATCATGGGCAACATATGCTCTATAGATCAGATTTATCACCTGCTGTTGCTTCCTCAGGATGGATTAAACTCTTTGCTCCCACAAAGACATGGACGCTGCTACCAGCTTTGTTGTGGAATTCTGAATAAAACAATGTTTTATATTTCAGAATGACTCCCGTTGATATTTCTGAGATTTTACAATGAGTCATTTGTTGCTGCAAAAAGTGTGTTGTCTTGTCAAGATTAATATATCTTGTCATAGGCTGTGGTCCTATTTTACACATGGAAATCAAAACCAAAATTGGACCTTCAACTATGTTAACAGTAACACCAAAATATTAGGAAATGAGTTTCCAAAAACAAGCAGAAGAATTAGGAGCTGAACATCAGTAATGATCATCCCAGCTGAAAAGCAGAAATCCACCATGACAGGAAGATCAGCCATGCAGGACATCTGAGTAGCCATTGACTGATGAGCTGGCTGATATTTAAAGCTTTTTTTCTTATACACATTACCTAGAATAAGACGTATGCTGCATGAATGAAGTGTTAATTGGTGGTTTGTACCTATTAATGCAGAGTGTAAAGATTTTCAGAAAATTTCTGTGCAAGAGATGAATGGAGTTGAATCGTCTTCCTGTCAAACGACATTAAAATGACCCTTTGCAACACGACCATCTTTGTTCAAAACCGCCTTCTGGGAAAGGCTTTAGCAACTGTGAGGTTTTCCCACAAACCAGCCAGAGAGTATTGAGTAAAGTTCAAAAGAAATTTTAATTTATTACAAAAAATCCACAATAATTTCAAAATGATAAATCGGGCCCCAAACTGAGGTCAACATAACAAACTACAAACTCAGGTAGCAACACAAAGAACTCAAACAAAAAACTGACCTAACTAACAAGACATGAAGAGAACTTAAATAGTGGGTGATCAAACCACTACTAAACACAAAAGGGATAATTAAACACACAAAAAACACAAACAAATACAAAGAAACATTACTAAATCTTTAAATTAAATAAATATTAGAACTGAACTAACTTTCAAAAGAACAACAAACATTAAAGAAATAATGAAACTAAACTAAAAAACCAAATTTCCCCCTCCCCTGGTGAGCAGATGGAATGGCCCACTGGGAAGTTGACCACCAGTGGGCATCAGCTGGAAATCATCTGTAGCTCCAGGGGAAACTGGTAAACTCAAACAAAAAAAATTTAGTGCATTTAACAAAAATTATAAAGAACTGACAAATAAAGTGAACTAAATGGGTGCACTACACATAGTTAACTAAATTGGTCAAATTAAAGAAGACAAATTTAAAAATAAAAATCTAAACTATTCAAACAAATATATAAAGTAATATTAAAGAAAAACAGAAAACAATTACTTTTCTTCTGTGACAGCAGGGACAGCTGTCACAGCAACTCACACTGATACAGTAAAAAGCCTGAGACTGTATCTTATGGCAAAGTGTGTGGTCTGGACAGACATCTTGCTGTATGGGAAGCAAGCAATGGAATTTCTTTGCTTTTATTGATGTTATTATAGAACTTCTCACAGCCTCATATTTCAATAAAAATAAAGCTGATAGGATTTTATATTTTTGGGTTTATTCGGGTTTCGTTTTTCTATCAAATCCTGTGCTTTCCTTATCATATGAAATTGGTATGTTTACTCTATACAGTGATGTTTGCATTTGTTATATAGTTTTTTGTGCAGAACTGTTTTATTATTCAGCACTTATCTCCTAGAAAAATTTTTTCACAGATTGCACACACAGCAGTTCTCCATCTCTTCACCAGACATGTCAGAGGTCACAGGTCAGAACTGAGGGGCTTGAAGTACGTCTGACTGTGGTAGTGCTTTTATATAACATTACAGGCTGCAGGCAGTGAGACAGATGAGTGTTTCACTCAAATAGATGCAGATGATTTTCATCAAACTGAAGAACTGATCTGATGCTTTTAGAAGCAGAGTGTTCCATTTGTATTTTTCCTCCAGAAATCCTGCCTGAATGTGATCATTAATACATTTTTCAAAGCTACACTTAACATTTACTGCTAAAATGTAATGAAGGATTAAAGACACATTGAAGGAGGATATGGTCTATAACGAACTGTTCAACAAAACTAATGTAAATAAAAATGAAGGCCATTATTTATGTGTTTATAAAAAAGCTTTATCATCCAGGATGTTAGGAAAATCATCTATGATGAGATTGAGCTGGAAGTAAAGGAGATTATGACTCTATTTAGTCAAGAGTTTGTCTCCAAATTTTAAAAATAAGTATTATTATTATTAAACCTGGTTCGGTATTTTACTTTGGGGATTCAATTTTCAACTGCTTTCAAAATAAATGTGACATTTATTGGTCTAACAGAGTCATTAAAGTCCTTTAAACTCCCTGAGTGTGAAAAGGTTTTGAACCCAACAGTTTCATGACTAATGCAGCCTCTTCATCACCATGTCTGTTTTGGTACAGTTGGAAAGGAACTAAAATAATTAATAAATAAGTCACTGGATTATTTTCATGATCATTGATTTGATGGGCAGGTTGAAGCACACAGAATCACGCTCTGTTCTGTGTCTCAGGGTAAAATCTCCGGAATTGGCTTCTTGAAGATCCATGCTCCCTGGGCTGTTTTGTGTCGAGAGGCTGAGATCATGAAGCTCAAGATGCCAACAAAGCAGGTGTTCAACCCAACAGCCACTAATTCCATTCAAAATTTCATTCAAGTTTTTTTTAAGTATCAGTTTCATATTTACTCTGTCAGTGATCAGTGAAGAACAACAACTCCCTTCAACAGCAACAATCGTCTTTCATTTCTGCAGGTTTATGAAGTGAAACAAGGCAGCAACCTGGTGGAGAAAATCCGACTGTTCATTCACAAAGTTACTGATCCTCTCCACCCAAAAGTGGGTCCCAAACGGCCCGGAGATGTCAAATCACTCTCCCTTCCCTTTTCAAAGGAGAAGCAGCACCTGTGAGTAAAATTTCTTTTCTTTTCCATTTCTAAAGACACTCCAAAAAATGTCACTTTGGTGATGAATCATTTCAATGAGCCTTTTATGTTTAAAAGCAGAAATGAGAGCACTATGGGATGAGATCAGGTTCTGATGATTAAATGTTGTCTGAGCTTTGGTTCCTTGACTTTCCAGCTGTTTCATTTGAATTGTGAGCCTAATAGAAGTTGTTGCCTTGCAGTTCCAAGCTGCAAAGCAGAATGAAAGCTGGAGATTGACCCTGAACTGCAGTTCATGCAACCAGCAGGAGAACCTAACTGTGCAGGTTTTCCTGACAGACAGGATACCTTCGAGAAACATGATGTAGGAATCGGCTAATATTACAACTAGGAGATTGGAATAAGCAAATATATTTAATTATTAAACACAATGTGGTAAAATCATTAACAATGTGATGGAAAGAAATGCCAGCCAGCCTGCAGGCTGAGGATGCCAGGAACGCTGCAGAGTGATTCAGTCTTGGTAATGTGAAAGCCCCCCGCCCCCGTCCCTCAGCTTACTGCACGCAAACAAACACAAGTCTGACTCATTGAGGTCATCTACATCCTCTGAACAGTGACTGAGATTTTAACGTGGCAGTCTAAGCAGATATGGGATAGATTCTGAACTTTGAGACGCATGACTTCATGGACACTCCCTTTGGTCCCAACCAGTCAGCCAGTTTTCACATCCAGTGTTTGGATCAGAACATGTCTTCCTCTCAGCCTGCTGGAATGTATGGAGGAGCGAGTGGGCAGCAAGTAGCTAAATTTATGCTCTGACTAACAGCTAGAAGATCTCCCTCCACAGTTTCCACATCTCATCTGTTCTGAAAACGGTCTGGGGTAGATCCCAGAGATTAAGCCTGATCACAAAAGCTTGTTTAGTCAGGTTTTCAAAGCAATCACTCTTTTTATTTTTGTATTTTTGGTTTTCTTCTCCTAGATTGGACTTTGGATCAGGCCGTACCTGATCCAAAGTCCAACGAGTCCAAAAGAGTCCAAAAGTGTTCAGATAGTGTCCCCAATCAAGAATGAATAGAGATTTTCTAGGTTCAGTTACGACAGCCTGTCAGAACCTGAACTTAAACTTTAAATTGTCAGTCATCAGATGATGTCTGACAATTTACAAGAACTTCTTGTTGATCTATCAACTTTCCTTGTTTGTTGTATTTTTGGTTATAGTTCAGTTTTGTGTGAACACTCAACAGAAAACATCCAATCCAGCTTTTTTTTTTGTTCTGTTTTTTTTTTTTTTTTTTTCAAATTTTATTTTTTGGAGTGACTCCATCTCTAAAACAATCTTCCAAACATTAAAGCATGTCTCAGAGCAACATTTATCTGGCATTTGAGTGCATTTGGAATAATGTTCATACTCTATGTGTCCATTCGAATCCTCTACTGGATTTTAATGGATTTCCATCTGATAAGTTGAAGTGTGTAGTTAGTTTCCGGTCACAGAGTATCTTCATTCATGCTGCTCTCACTTTTCTCTTGTGTGCTGTTCTTCTACTTGGCTTGATGCTAACTGCAAGCAAGATCTCTTCAGACTTTCTTCCTACCATTTGGTCATGAATGCCTGGTGGAATATGCAGCTATAGTTGTCAGGTTCTCCCACCTGAACTCTGTTATTCTGTACATTATAACTAAGCAATGATTTATGTTAGTCTGTTGCACATGATCCCAGTTCAGTGTAACAGTTTGAGGCCTGACATGCAGTCAGGTGATGGCGTCTGAACCATTACCGGTGCTGTATAGACAGCACCGGTTCCATACAGCGTTCATCTTTACGCTACATCCTGCACTTGACATTCATGTTCTTGCTAGTGTATAGCTCAACTGGATTAAGTATTTATCCAGTAAAATGGAGCAATTTTTGTCAGTAAGAGCATGCACACTCCCACACACACACACACACACACACACACACACACACACACACACACACACACACACACACACGCACACATGAACGCCAACATAAACATGGATTCAGAGTGTGGTTAAATCATGAGAAATGGGATGCTCCTCTAAGGATTTGGGACATAAAACACCTGCAGAGGTCATCAGTTCCTGATGGATTATACCAAATGTAATTCCAGAACAATCACTAACTGTTGCCCTTTTTCAGTTTTTATATCTTATGAACATATGTTTCATATAGAAACACGATTTTTCTCTTTTTTGTCCTGGTTGTGTGTTGAAATTAGAAATGAAGCATACTACTGATGCACATCATGATGATTAGATTAATAATATTTGTTTTATAATGCATCTCAGCCTCCTTTCTAACTATGGCATCTCTTTCTTTTACAGTTTTACATCTTAACTCTTCACTGGTCTATGAATTTTTTTCCCGTTCTCACATCTTTAAATAAAACTGCCTGATTTTCTTCTTTTTCCCCAGTTTTGACCTCTCTGACAGAGACAAGTTCTTTGACAGCAAGACGAGAAGCTCCATTGTGAGTATTTCAGTAAGGTCAATGTTGGAGAGGATCACTAGACAACAATCTGCTTAAAATAATAACTGTAAACCATCGCTCATAAGCATATGAACATGCTTCCTCTAGCTCAGTGTGCTTTTGTCTCAGTTGAACGTTTTGGTTTCAGGCAGAGGAGTGATCTCTGTATTTTGTTCTATGCTGGTTCTGCGCCTCCACATTGACTCTCTTCCTTTACACACACACACACGCACATACCAATATACACACCTCCACAGAACTGCCTAGGGCTTCACTAATGACTAGATAATGTGATTGAAGTCAGTATTGGATGGAGGTGCTCTCTCCCAGCACTCCTTTGCTGCAAGAGCACATGAATTAGACTCAGTGGAATTGTTTTTACTGCTGCTCTGAACCTCAGTCTGTCTGCTTTCATTTTCCCTTTGTATTATTTTCATTTTGCTATCTAATAAGCAAATAAACATTCCCTCCAATCATGCTGTAGTATACATTTTCAAACATGCTTAGTTTTCATGTTTTAATGATGTCTGTTCTTGGGTTCCCAGGTCTATGAAGTACTGAAGAGGATACGATGGACCAGACCCAACTACTCCTTGGGTAAAGGCAGCACACAACTTAATATGAAACTTTCTCCAGGTTCATATGATGAGCATAAACAACAAGCATTACACTTCAAAAACACCAAAATATCTTGCAATTTCTAAAAAAAAATGTCCTTTTTACTTAGTATTAAGATAAAAAGATTTTAACATGTGGACTTAACATGACTTAACTTGGTCACTAAAGTGTTGGCACTTCACAGGCACAAAATCAAATACATATGTAGTTGTTTTTTCCCCTTTGATACAGTCAAATAAGCTTGTTTATATGTTTTAATGGCCAAAAGAAGAGATATTAAAACATTTCATACACTGCAAATGTTTTTATCAAACACACCTAATTTATCTGAAGAGTCAATATCTTCAGAGTTGACACTTATTTGAGAAACTTTACTGAATGTGGCCAATGTAGACCCAACCTGAACCCATCTTATCTCAGTGTCTGTCAGTTTGTTGACCTCTGTCTCTTTCTGTACTTTTGACAAACAGCCACTGGTTCTCTATGATGTTTAAAATTGTTTGTTTGTTTTGTCAGTTTTGACTTTTGATCTGGAGTTGAATTGTGCTGTACAACACAAAGATCATCACTAGTATTGTTGGAAAAAAGTTACTCTTGGTTGATGGGTCGTGATGCTCTTTCTCTCCTCGGCAGACATGTAAGGTTAAGACCCTGCTCCCCATTTGGGTTATAGGAGGGGGCTTCTATGTGTGCACCTATGGATCTGGAAAAAAAAAAAAGTTTTCCAAACAATTGCAAGGAGAATTCATCAGTGAAAATAACAGCTCCAGTACCCTGTTCATATTTTTCTGCAAAATTCCAGTCTGTTCGTGATATTTTTCTTTAACCAGAAGCATCTTCTTCGCTGTCCTTGTGTCACAAGGCCATCGCCTCAAAGTCTTCATTTCATTCTTCCAGAAGGAGATAATCACTGTGCTGGTTGCACATCCATCAATGTCCTGAAAACTCTTCCCCTCATCTCAACCGTTCACATCAAAGTTTAGATGACCCCAAAAAACTTTCTTTCACTTAAAATGTACTTATCAGTAATTGTCCTTTTAATATAAAGGGATAATGGTTGCACTCTTCTTAAAGGTTATCATTAGTAACACAAGCTGTCAGCAATTTCAAGCCCGGTTAGGTTAATGGATTTAGCAGAACTCTTCTACAGTGTTTTTCATCATCAAGACAAAACATATTTTGTTTCTTAACATTATATGCTTATATTTTTCTGCAGTAAATTAAAGTGCATTGATGTTAGGTTTCAAAGCAAAAACTGATTTGGATTAACATTACTGACATTACTCTGTTAGCTGAGGCAGGATGACATTAGGACAGCTGACAGCCTGTCAGAAATCCGAATCATTAAACATGACTTGTGGTTTAGAGTAGAATCAACAGAAATTCCACCTCATTTCTCATATATTTTTTGTAACTTTTCCTTACTATTATTATAAAAAGAAACAACTTTAAGTTTTATGCCTCTATATGGTATGCCACCCTGATCAGGCTGTTGAAGGCTTTTCTCTCTGCTCATTCTCTGGGTGGTGCTGCTCTGAGAGTGTCTCATTTTAATCCTGGTGATTATTTCTCCTTATAGGGATTACTAGTCTGCTAGCCAACGGTGTCTACACATCTGCTTATCCACTACATGATGTGAGTATCAAATTCATCTTTCTCCTTTCATGTTGGAGGACCTCCTCCCTCCTGCAGGCCTCCAGCCATCTGTCAGGACAGCCACAGCAAAAATAATTCCGGAAGAAAGATCATTTTATCATTTTTACTATTGTTTGTTTGAATAAGTCCAACATTTTGATATGACACAAAGCAGCGACCCAGTCCATGGCACACTTGGAACAAATCCATGTGATAATATTAAAGTGAGCTAAGAAATATGTTGATCTGCAAAATCTGATGCAATCAAAATATTGGATGATAGTTTCCTCTTCACAGCTACTGTGACTCAAAGCTCACCTAGATATACAGTCATGGCCAAAAGTATTGAGAATGACACAAATGTTATATTTTCACATGATGTGCTGCCCTCTGGTTTTCATGTGTGTATGTCAGATGTTGTCATCACATACAGAAATACAATTGCAATCATATTATGAGTAACAAAAGTTTTTATTGACAGTTTGAATGAGGTAATGCAGCAAGTCAATATTTGCAGTGTTGACCCTTCTTCTTCAGGACCTCTGCAATTCTTCAATTTCTGGATCAAATCCTGACTGATAGAAGTCCATTCTTGCACAATCAATGCTTGCATTTTGTCAGAATTCCTAGGTTTTCGTTTGTCCACCCGTCTTTTGATGATTGACCACAAGTTTTCAATGGGATAAGATCAGGGGAGTTTCCAGGCCATGGACCCAAAATCTCTATGTTTTGTTCCCTGAGCTAGTTAGATATCACCTTTGCTTTATGGCAAGGTGCTCCATCATGATGGAAAAGGCATTGTTCATCACCAAACTGCTCTTGGATGGTTGGGAGAAGTTGATCTCGGAGGACATTCTGGTACCATTCTTTATTCATGGCTGTGTTTTTAGGTAAGACTGTAAGAGAGCCGACTCCCTTGGCTGAGAAGCAACCCCACACACGAATGGTTTCAGGATGCTTTACAGTTGGCATGAGACAAGACTGGTGGTAGCGCTCACCTCGTCTTCTCCGAACAAGCCGTTTTCCAGATGTCCCAAACAATCAGAAAGAGGATTCATCAGAGAAAATGACTTTTCAGCAGTCCACTCCCTGTACCTTTATGCAGAATATCAGTCTGTCCCTGATGTTTTTCCTGGAGAGAAGTGGCTTCTATGCTGCCCTCCTTGAGACCAGGCCTTGCTCCAAGAGTCTCCGCCTCACAGTGGGTGCAGATGCACTCATACCTGCCTGCTGCCATTCCTGAGCAAGCTCTGCACTGCTGACAGCCCGATCCCGCAGCTGAAACACTTTTAAGAGACGGTCCTGGCGCTTGCTGGTCTTTCTTGGGCGCCCTGGAGCCTTTTTGGCAACAATGGAATCTCTCTCCTTGAAGTTCTTGATGATATGATAGATTGTTTACTGAGCTGCAATCTTTCTAGCTGCGATTCTCTTTCCTGTTAGGCCATTTTTGTGCTGTGGAATGATGACTGCATGTGTTTCTTTAGAGATAACCATGGTTCACAGAAGAGAAACAATGATGCCAAGCACCAGCATCTTTTCAAAGTGTCCAGTGGTGTCCTTCTTACTTAATCATGATAGATTGATCTCCAGCCCTGACCTCATCACCACCTATACCTGTGTTAATGGAGCAATCACTGAAACAATGTTTGCTGGTCCTTTTAAGGCAGGGCTGCAATGTAGTTGAAATGTGTTTTGGGGGATAAAGTTCATTTTCTAGGCAAATATTGACTCTGGAATTAATTGCTGTTACGCTGATCACTCTTTATAACATCCTGGAGTGTATGCAAATTGCCATTATAAAAACTGAAGCAGTAGACTTTATAAATATTAACATTTGAATCATTCTCAAAACTTTTGGCCATGACTGTAGCAGATATAACACACCCACACACACACACACACACACACACACACACACACACACACACACACACACACACACACACACACACACACACACACACACACACACACAGGTTCCTGCATCCCAATTCTTTCAAAGTTGACTCTTTCAAACCATGTGAAGACATGTGCAGACTTGTCCTGCGGTGCTCAATAACTCCTGGAATCTAAACAAACAAAGAGTCTTCATTTTATCGAACTCAGAAAAAGTCTGTTCAGTGTTCTTGACTTCATTTCTGGAATAAGATACTGTAGATCAGACAAAGAAAAACTTAAACCTTAAAAGTTTCTTGTCATTTGTGCAGGTCTTTAACATCATTGCCTCCTTATGACTGTAGGTAATGATGTTTAAGATTTTATCCTGTACTGCTGTTTCTTTAAGTTTCTATTATTTATTTCTAGAGTTGTGGAGCTATTACAGAAGTGGTTTTAAGTTAATGTAATATGATTATTAAGGTTTTTGTCTGCATTGAAGACAAATTTCCTTTGGAACAATAAAATCCATCTAATCTTGTCTTGTATTTCTCATGATGAGGGATAGTAAACACACACTCCATTTGTCTTACAGGGAGACATTGAGGGGGTTACTGCAGAGCCTAATGACAGGAAGGTAAGTGGAGCAACTCTGTTAGTTTAACTTCCCGCTGTAACCATACTGATGCCATTCTGCCATGGAAACCCTGCTAACAGCAGCCTTTATGAGTTGGTCCACATAAACTATGTCAGAGGTTTTTGTAGGAGGTAAAAGTTCAGTTTAGGGTCAGTCACACCTGGGATTTCAGAGCAGAACCAACATACCTCTCATGGAGTATCACCAAGTTGGGCATTTTGCTCTTTATCGCTCATCGTCTAAGTGCTTGTCACTTCATATTGGATCAGCCAGCCTCTCCTGCCAGGATGGCTTATAGAAGCATGCAGTTGGAAATCAGAGTTCATGCTTTTGAAGTCACATCCATCCTTGCTTCCTCTCTACATCCATAATTATATTGTGGGATGTGAGTCACTAAGGCAACAGCTTTATAAGCCCCCTTATGTTCTGGAGGCTCAGAAAAGCAGTTCTAGTCAGCTTCATTCTCTCATGGACCTTCAGATGGAGAATGGGAACAGGAGAGTACAGAGTTCTTGTTAGCTGGTGTCGCGCTCATCCTGCCATCGAGGCTCTTCACTGGGCTGCTGCTTGCTCATAAACGACTTCATTTGTTGCTTTCAGCATTGCCTGTAGATGGAGTGTGTAATTACAGTATGTGTGAAAGTGTTCCACTGGCCTCTCCGAGTGATTTGTGATATTCGCCTACCAGTAGTGGGATCAGAACATCCGCACAGAGCGTTGCCGCTGCCAGCTGCTCTCGTCTGTTCAGCATGAGGACAGGATGGAGTTCAGCAGGATTCTTGTGTTTGGATGTTTTACTGCAGGAAGCTTCCATCAGAGCACAATGAGGTGGTTAGTAATACAGTTTAGAAATAAAATGTCTGTAAAATTCATACAGACATTGTTTTAAAGAAGCATTTTCTAAATCCTACCGATGTAGACCAAGATCAGAAAGACTATATGAGAGCAAACGCACATCCATTTGAATGGACATGTTTGGATTAGTCTGTCTGGTTTTATTGTCTTCACTAACAAATATGTTCAAGAAATAATCATTGTGCTTGTTTGCCATCCAGTTCTTTATTTGGTCTGCTCGACTCTTCACATCTGTAGAAACCTGACAGTAATCACTGACTCTGACTTCTCTTCACAGTTATTGTTCGAGGAATGGGCCAGCTACAGTGTTTTCTACAAGTATCAGCCTATTGGGCTGATCAGGTCAGAACCTTCTGAAGAAACCCATTAAGTACTGGATCATGTTCCTGTGATGAGAGTCAGGACCAGATCTGATAGTAGTCTCCATTTATTTATGGAGCTGAAGAAGAGCCATGATGACAGGATGGTCTTTAAGCATTCATGTTTCTTCCAACAGGAAGTACTTTGGAGAAAAAGTTGGCCTCTATTTCGCCTGGTTAGGAGTTTATACCCAGATGCTCATCCCAGCTGCCATCGTTGGAGTCATTGTGTTCCTTTACGGCTGCGCCACAGTTGATGATAACATACCTAGGTACATAGCACACGCATAAAATGTCGTATTAATGTTAAAAACACTTTGCTGATCTTGCTTTTTGTCAACTTTCATTGTTTGTTCTTCATTCATATAATCCATTCCTTCAACCAAAGGTGATTAAAAACTTCCAGAATGCAACTTTTCCATATCGTTGGTCTTAGTTCATTAGTCATAAGTGATTTCCAGCCTCAAGCAGTGTGTTGGTCCCACATGTTAAGGTGTGGCTATGCAAAGAGAGCTGACTCAATGAAAACATCTTGCAGAGTAGAGTCCGTCTCAGCATGCAATGAGCTTAGAAAAAAATATGTGGTTTGTTGCCACACAGTCACTTGCTAATATGCATGGCCATATCATGTTGGCTAATGTTGGGCAATTCTGTGAAGTGGCCTTAATGAGAGAATTAAGGTTTCAAAAAACACCCACAGTGACGGAGCTCCTGCAGGGCTGGGAGGGTGTGCTCAAATAACATGCAATCGTTTTTCTCAGGCCTGCTGTGTCACAACTCCTGGGCAGCTCTGTGTTCCTATGTTTACTGTTGGCTCTTACTCTTTTAAAAAAAATGGTGCTTAAAAATGGGATTCTGTGGTAATACTGAAATTTCCCATAGTCTTTGAAGGCAACACAACCAAAAGCAACATAATGTGCATAACATACCGGTGTTTTAACTATCTGTGCTACCCATATGGCAGGAAAATCTGTCGAGGTAGCACAGAGACCGCTTCTGATCACATGGTACCATCAATGCCGTGCGCATCACAGTGACACATGAGTGGCAAGTTCATGGATTTCAGATATGGAGCAATTTATCACGTAAAAAAAGACAGGACAAAAGTGAGAAAAATCAGAAAGAAACAATGACTCTTTTATTGTCATTAATTTAAACGATGAGTTTAAATTATTGACTATATTTATTATCGTTATAATAAATGTGTCAGACCCATTGTGTTTGAACTTTGAGTGAGTTTTAATTTAGTGCATCATATTCAAAATATTTAAAGGTATTAATGTTTGAATATTGATATTTAAATTAAGTGCCTTCTTAAGAATGCTGAGCAGGGATGTAACCAGGAAGCTTTTAAAATGGACAAATACATCCAAATCTGAGACACACAAGAAAATTGTCCTACATGTTTTAAAACTGTCCCGCTTGAGACACTCCCACCTCGGCCAGCCTGGCAGAGGGAGTTCATAAGTTTTTTGCATGAATAACTTCTTACTACACTTAAACATTGTTCTGTTCTTACTGACATATGAAAGAGTTGATTCAGAGTACAGGCCACACCTAAAGACACTTCAAAATAAAAACCTTAGGGACTAGGAAGAAAACAATTTCTTTATACTGTACTGTGGAATAAAGCTAGTCTTGAAATTACTCTTTTCAGTGATGATAAGCTTAATTTGGCTCTTAATGCTAAACTGGTTTGCTACTCTGGTTTCTACTTAGAGAGACTGGTTTCATGCAAACATGAAATCTTTTTATCCTCCCTTAAGCAGAGGACCACGCCTGCTGTAAATAATCATTAAAAGTTTATGTGGGAAGAAACAGCAGTTTGATTTTTAGGTTTCATTCACACCAGACTGCTTTAGTTTGCGTTAATCAAACTCCAATATGTTTTTTAGAACAACCAGTTCATTTGGGGAGGTGAGAATGTGTTGATGAACTCTGAGGCAGAATAAACTGGTTAAATCTGGGCTACAACTTCACTTCACTTCTCAGCTCAGTGGAAGTGAGCTGTGATGTGGGTCAAATGTAGAAGTGAACTACAGAGCACGGCATTCTGGGTAAATACAACCAAAATGAACACATCAGTCCAGCACTAGCAGGAGAAATGACTCCTGATCTTTAACCAAAGACAAAAGAGAACTCCTCCAACCACTAAAATCTGATGCCACTCTACATTTTGTGAGGAAGTTGCGCCCAATGTCTTCTTCTGAGGTGTTCATGTGGTTTCCTTCAGTGGTTCTTGGTGAAGCGCCCCTGCAGGCGAGGGGGGAGCAGGTTGCTCAGAGCAACATGAACCACAGCAGCTGGAAATTTAACAAATGTTACAACTTTGGTCTCCGATCTAACTGAGTCTATGAAGTGTAAAGCATTAACAAAACCTCTCCTCCCTCACCACCGCCTCCTCAGCGTTAATGAAGCAAACCCTTCTGATGACCATTCAGTAATCCAGATTCTCCATCTGTCTGTCAGCATGGAGATCTGTGATCCCAGGAACAACATCACCATGTGTCCGCTGTGTGACAGTGCCTGCAGCTACTGGAAGCTGGAGACGGCGTGTGGCACAGCAAGAGCCAGCCACCTGTTTGACAATCCAGCAACAGTGTTCTTCTCCATCTTCATGGCTCTTTGGGGTAAGTTCACAGATAAATGGTGCAGACTATAACTCATCTGCATCCGCAGGCATGTTATGAAAAAAATATTTGTTTTTTCTACCATTCAAGGTAAGATTAGAGAAGACCTTTAGCTGCAACGTGAATCCTGATTAAGAGAAATTTCCTAAACAAATCCATAAGGCCAACACACAGACTGCCCTCCTCTGATGTCCTGCCAAATCTCCCAGCCATCTGTTGGCAGCAGCAGGGCTTCAGACTGCAGAACTGTTGTGTTCACATGAAGCTGGAGTCTGACAGAGTCTCAGCACTGCAGCAATCTGGAGCTGGCCTCTCGCTCCAGATTAATAATGGAGCTATATAAAAAAAAAAACCTGCGTCTGATCTTTACACTTAAACTGCAGAAAATATGCGAATAAATCAGAACAGAACTGGAGCTCCAGCTGGACATGGTGATGAACCTCAGTTTAGTTTGCTGGAAAATTGCAATTGTGAGAAATATGTGTTTTGTTTTGTTTTTTTGTTCTTCGGGTCAGACATCTGAAACATGCATATAGATTCTCAGTCCGATCGGGTGAAAATGAACTTTAACAAATGACATCTGGATGGCCCACCAGTGAGCTCTTCTTTAGTGTCAGTTCACTCACCTTGAAAATCAGCTTTAGTTGGAAGACAAAGAAAGAAAGATAAACAAGAAAGAGCTTTTGTACTTCAATTCAAGGGGGGAAATTATGGAACAAGTGAAATGAGGAGTTAAAACAAAGTCAAAATTCAATACAATTTAAAAGAAAATATAAAGAGGTCATTTTCACAAGATGTAGAAATATGTGTGAGAGTTAATTCACACATATATGTGGGTTTGAGGGTGTGGGTATGGATGTATATATTTAGACATAGGTAAACCCACATAAAATGGAAAATTAATTAACCTGTTTATTTTTGCTTTTTAATTGGGTTGATGAATGAGGGTCCATCTGAAAATATTATGTGAGTTTAAGGGCTAGGAGTTCATAAGTTTCTAACTTCTTCCTACTCGTTTCCAAGCATGTTAAGATTACTGTGGTACAAAAATATGTCTTTTGCATTGCTTGTTCTTGTGTATGATTTTATACTACAATCGTGTTCAAAATGAAGTTTCATTTAATTTCATTTACACAGTCTGTGTTTATCATGACAGTCACATGTCATTCACATGTGGTTGATATACTTGTTGGAAAAACTCCAATTTATGTTACTTATGTTCAGAATGCTGATAATGTGCTGCTGTTCAGCTGGAAAGAAGTGTGTAGTGACTAGGTTGTGTTGCTGCTCACCTCTGCAGCTGTTCTCTTCATGGAGCACTGGAAGAGGCGCCAGATGCGGCTCAACTACGTCTGGGACTTGACGGATTATGGAATGGAAGAGGAGGTGAGATTACCCGGGGAAATTGCTAACCTGTCCTACGCGATGAGGGAAATTCATACAATTGGCTGAAAACATGCACCTTTCATATGGAAAATAGAATTGAAAGATATCACTCTAAGTCTGTCAAAGAATTTTTATTCAACTAAACCAAAGATTGTCACATTTTATAGAAAAAAATGAATAAAGTTTGATATTAACTTATGAAATAATTCCATAAAAACCACTCATCAATTTTTCTGTTTGATAAATAGCTTTAATTTCATTCTCATGGTTCTTTAACCTATTAGCCTTCATTCTGATTGTGATAACAACAACTGAGACACGAACTGGCAAACTGGAAGGACATGAGACAAGAGGACAGAATGGAAATGTTTCAATATATTCATGCTTATAAGTACATGAAACATTTTTTTTTATTTTGTTCTCATAAAGTTTTAAATAAATCCTAATATTAGAATGAATGATTTGATGTCAGTAGAAACGCTAAGATGACAGAATGCCCAGCAGTAGATTTCTCTAGACATGAAGAGTCAAACTGACCCTCAACATGAAAACCTGCAGAAAACCTTCTGAAAACCTGCAAGATATTTATGTAGATTTTTTTCAAAGCAATAACAAGATATTTGAATTCTGACAGGTGAAAATATCTCTCTTCTGTAAATGTTCTGTAATGTTCTGGCTCAGATTGTGTCATCAACGCTGCATATTCTGAACTTTAGAACATCTGCAGACTCTGACTTGTGTTTCTGTGTATGTGTGCGCGTGTGTGTGTTGTGATTCACAGGAGCACTATAAGGTTTGGATCTGATTCCCTTTATTTCCTTTTAATCTGTGACTCTTTGTAAGCAGTTGCTCTGGAGCCTCACCGTCTGCCTCGGCTGGCCCCTGTTTCTAGCCCTGTGGAGTTTCAGCTGTGGCTCTTGACTTTTCCTCTGAGGCTCACGCTGCAGCTGGGCCTCTTGCTGTGATGACTCTGTGCAGACTCTTGCTCTTCTTTGTGCCTTTTTCCATCACTTTGGTTTTTAGATCAACAATTTCTTATTAGCACTCAAATGACCAGAAAGGTATCTTTAACTTCTAAGGAACCAGCTAACTGTAACGTTTTTAGGTATTTGTGTTGGATTTCTGCAGGTTATTGTAAACATCCAAAGGAAATCATGATGAGTAAAGTTCTGCTGGCTCACATAAAACCACATGTTGGATCCTAATGAGGAATTTCACAAACTTCTCCATAGTCTGGTTATTCCGCTTCCCTTTCCAGGTTTGTTGTGGGTGCCGCTAATTATGACCAAGCCCATAACATTTATTGACAACAAGGTTAATGATTTTATTTTATCAGACCAAATACCTAAAATTGAAGTTGTTACCCATGTTATGTGGTAAGAAGAATGTCCAACATCTGCTTCCACCTTTAAACAACAAAAACAAAAATTTGCAGTAATCAGAAGACCAGGCAAACATCCAACTTAAGCAGAGTTGAGTTTTACTTCCATCCTCTCGGCTGCTGGAACACAGTTATCATCCACGGACGTTGATGCTAACAGTGAAAAACACAGATCAAATCTCAGATCAATAATGCTGCATTAAAACTGCAGTGTGCAACTTTTATACATTTTGTTCCCATCAGGTAGCTGAAGCTGCAGCTTTATTGTGGATGTGCTGCTCTTCGTGCCTGATGCTGCACTGTTCTCTTTTACTAGCAAAGCCTCAAACACACATTGCTTATGATGCTCATTTCCAAAGCTCACATGCTTTTTAACATTCCTTTTTTCCAATTGACAGTCCTTCGAGGACATTTATCTTACACTTGCTCAGTAAATTTCAATCTGATTAAATGTAACAGGTTAACTGCTGTCTCTTGCAGGACCACAACAGAGCTGAGTATGAGCTGCGGGTCGCAGAAAAGATCATGAGACAAGACCAAGGAGCCCCAAAGGTAGGACTGAGGTCAGACTTTGGAGGAGTCTGATGAAGCGGATCCCCTCTGGAAAATCACTTTAGTGGTCTTTGTCCATAAGCGTACCTGATGACCAATGGGAACAACGGCAACTCCTTGAAAATAGGAAATTTAACGTACTGATATTGAATCGAGAAAATTATGGACTGTCATACAACTGCAAAGTATCTTAAGTCAGAGGCTTCTTCAAATTACCTGTAATACGGACTGCTACAGGAGATCCTTCCTTTGCATAGCCATCAGCACTGCAATCTTTTTGAAGGACCATTTATTTCCCTCTGGGATTAATAAAGTATATTTGAACTTTGACTTCATTTTTTGATTATTATATTGTTGACTTTTTGGTTCAATCAGAAAAAATCCATCTAAAGCATGAGGCCTCTTTTAGCTGCAGAAATCAATGGGAATTACCCAGTTTTCCTCATGATATATTCCTCTGATCACAATAAACAGCACAATCAAGACCAGTTAATCTCTAGCAGCTCAGACACATGTAATAATGTTTAGCAGCAGCTTATTCTTTAGCAGGCAGTGATGCAGCAAGTAAAAAGACTCATGTTAACACATGATAGGCTGAGAGCTGAGGCTGTTGGTTAGCAGCCCTTAGCTCTTTGCCAAGGTTACATCTTCCTTCCCTAAATGAACACACACAGTGGCCCCAGCACCCTGACCTCGTTCTGTGGGCTTGGATGTGACGTGATGACTCGGGGTGGTATTAGTTCCGCTCCACTGCAGCTGGAGCTCTGCTCCAGCTGCAAGTTATCAGAGCTCCTGCAGTGGAGCAGGAGCTCTGATAACTTTTATGTTGTTATCAGGCAACATAAACGCACACATTTATGTTGCCTGATGTGTGCAACCGTTGGGCCATTCTGTAAGGAGCTGCTGAGAACAGAAAACATGACAAACACACAGGTCCAACCCACAATGAAGACAGTTTATGTATTCATACTTTATGTTCTCTTGTTCATGCATGTCTGTTTGCTTTTGTGTGTTGTAGGACGAGAAAGTGAAGCTAACGTGTACAGACAGAATGCCAGCTTACCTGACCACCGTGGTCATGATGGGCTTCATGGTGAGACTCAGTCTTCCACATTCATGCACTGCTTCAAGGCAAACCAGAAAACTAATCATTCAGATGGGTTTTCAGCAAAACATGGAAGTCCTAACATTTCAGGGATATGTACACCGTTTAAATATTAAGCAGAAATGGAATAAACTGTTTCATGATTTGGCTCAACCCAATTTTAGTGTCTTCCAATGAGAACGACACATAAGTACACTCTGTGATCATTTATAGTTGAACCCACAATTATTTGCACTCCTAGAAGATTCATTTAAAAATTATTTTTATTCAACTAAGAATGTTTTCTTCTATTAGAAAATTAGAGCCATGAAAATATAAAAGTTTCTGAAGGCAGTATCTAAAAATAGTTTTGTTTTTATATAAATTTAATTTAGACAATGTTTGTTGCAAACTTTTTATGCTATTCTTATTAATCACTCTAGCATTGCAGTCAATTCACATGAATTCATTTAGTTATTCATATGAAACTCCATTCTTTAGGTGGATCAGAGCTTTGGGGTTGAACTGCATGTTCTGTTACAGCTGATCAGTGTAAAGTTGGAGATATGAAACTGCGCCTGGGGTCTGAATAGAACTCCATTAACAGAGTCTCAACCAATTAATTATTATACATGGTGTCTATGAGAGTAAAACAAGTATTGTGAATTTTTCAGAAGTCATTCAGGATTTTTTTCCATAGAACTGAAAATATTTTATATGAGTGATGCACAAAAATAACCTATGAGGTTCTATTGTGTTGTAAGGCTCAGTTTTAAGAGTCTTGCATGTTAAAATTGTATTACACTGTCAGATATCTGGTTACCCTAGATATCTGAATCTGTCATCTCCGATGTTCCTGGGTGTCATTGGTTTGTCTCCCTCCTTCTTTTCAGATTTTCGTAACCTTTGTGATCGCATTTGGGGTCATCCTGTATCGGATCAGCATCAAGACTGCGCTGCACTTAAGCAACTACCCTGCTGCACGCTCCAACATCCGAGCCACCGTGAAAACCACCGCCGCCATTATCAACCTTATTGTCATCATCATCCTGGATGAGATTTACGCTTCCATTGCCCGCTGGCTCACCACTCTGGGTGAGCAGTCTTCAGGAACCATTATGGTTTACTGGGAGCAAACTGGAAACATGACTCCATCCATTAAATATAGTATGTTATGTTTGCTCTCTATATTCTGTGTTTTGTTTTTTTTTTATTTCTGATTCTTGGACAAAATCCACAGGCCATTAGTTAAACTTTAGTGTCAGATAAGGTTTAACTAAGTTTAACTAAATATGGAAATATGTGACTTGTTCTCTGGACAGATGATCACTGCTCATTCAAAGCTTGGTCAACAAGTTGAGACATTGTCAACTTATCTGAAGTTCTGTTTGTTCTGTCTAAGAAAATCATAGTAGAATGCCAGAAATGGCATTGAATAACTTGAAAATAGAAAAACATCATTTTTTTTTTATTAAAAAAATGATATCACTGTAAAACATTCTAAATTCCAGCTGGATTTGTTGTTATCCAGTCCAATATGATCCTTTTTTCCAGAGGTTCCAAAGACAGACAAGAGTTTTGAGGAGCGCCTCATTTTCAAAACATTCATCTTGAAGTTTGTCAACGCCTTCACACCCATCGTCTACCTGGCTTTCTTCAGAGGAAGGTAAAACAGCGCCCTCTCCTGCTTCCTTGTTTTGGCTACAATCTCTACCTGGTGGTTTATTCCAACTTAAACATGCATCAACACCAGACTGGATTCCCTCTTCATCCTAAAGTGTCTGATTGATGCTTTTTTTGTCCACAGACTGGTTGGGAGACCTGGAAAGTATCTGTATGTGGTTGGCTCTTACAGGATGGAGGAGGTATTCACTTTATCCACATGGTGTGTGTGGTAATGATTATACTAAATGAAGTAACAATCAGATTTGTTCTTCATCTCCTTCCTGCTTGTTGCATGTTTTATCTCTTGAGTCTCATGAATTAGATAAAAAGTTTTATCGGTATTCAGTGAGGTGTGGAGTCGAGTCATGTGACTCATGACTGCTTGAGACTTGTGTCATAAATTTAATGACTTCAGGCTAAGCTTATTAAAATCACAAACAATTTTGAACTTAATTTATGGACAAAAAGTATTCACCCTGTTGAATTTTTAACACTTTTATTGCCTTTCTAAAAATCAGTGATGGGAAAAAAAAATTAGAAGAGTTTTTTTGACCAGAAGACAAAAAATCTTCAGTGTCAAAGTGAAAACTGATTTCTGTGGACCCCCCTGGGGGACATGGCAGTTGTTTTTTATTTTGCATTCCCTCACAATACTTTTGCCTTGTCTTGCAATAATGTACTGATCAGTTCATGCTGCATAATTGAATACTGAAAAGAAATTATGGTGTAATATAAGGTTCTGCTATAATATAAGGTTTTTGTGAGGTTTTTCCATGTATGTTAATACCTCGTTGGTGAGACCTAAGTTTTATATCTTTTTCTGTAGGATAGAAAGGCACCATAAATCTATGTGCAAAATGCAAAACCCAAACAGGTCAAACATGGACTTTCCATCTCTTTCCATCGCTTCTAAAATATAAACATAAATTTTCCATAAGAAAGTTTCTGTTCATCACCCTCTGAGTTATTTTCCAAAATTTACCGTGAGGTATCACAAAATAATTTTTTACCCCATGTTCCCTGGGGCCTCTGTAGATTTTACAAAATAGTTGATGAGAATTACAAATATGTTGCATAAAATGAGCTATAGAAGCAATAAAAGGGTAAGGAGCTTCCTGTGTTGCACTAATCAGCCACCTTGAGGAGACTGGATCACTGTTGCTTTGTTTGCTTCTCTGCCTTTGTGATTCACTGTGAGATAAAGTTTTTCTCTGCTGTGTGGATCTGACTCGTTGCTTTGCTCAGTGTGCTCATGCAGGCTGTCTCATGGAGCTGTGCATACAGCTGTGCATCACCATGCTGGGCAAGCAGCTCATCCAGAACAACCTCTTTGAGATTGGCATACCGTGAGTACACTTCTACCTGAGACACACTGAACACCAGCATAACAGCACATCCTCCCAGGTCACAGTGTGTGGGCTGAGCAAATCACAGAATACATTATGTACACCTACTCAGCTGTACTTACAGAAGTCATTTAAATATCTGCTTTTCAGACACCAGCATTCAGGATAATTCCAAAAGCAAATTCATAAAAGTAATCTGACTGACGCTAAATGAAAACTAGCCAAAAACCTGCAGAGCAAACTTAAAATCTGTTCACATTGTTTTCTCCTGGGATTTTTTTTAGATTCTTTGTTTTTTTTTATTTCACTGGGGAGCAATTAAAACAAGTTTCAAAAGCTTTTATTGGGAAGTCACTCACACATGTGCACACCATCATACATGGATGTGCAGATTGGCAGATAAGCTATTAAGTGCCTTGCCAAAGGGCAGATCAACATGTGGCAGGATGAATTAGACAATGATTTTTAAGCACATCTGCTCCTTTTTTCTGCTGAAAATGACATAACTGCACCTTTTTTCTGCTGAAAAAAGGAGCAGATGAGCTATGAAACACTCAGTTTTATAGATGAAACTGAGTGTTTCACCTATGAGTCTGAAACACTCAGTATACTGAATGTTTCAGACTCATAGCTCCCCTCCTTTAGTTAAACACTGGTTGAACGAAGTTAGTTGATAAACTTTCAATATTCAAAATTTTCAACCAACACAAATGACTAAATCTGACAGATGTACATCTGCAAACACCTGCTGTTAATATTCACATTTGACATGAGACAAAATCCGATCACATTTGATTCCAGTTTCTTTCCTCCTGTTTCCTCCATGCACCATTAGAAAGAAATCTCCTCCTCAGATTTCAATGGGATTTATTTCTTTATGGCCACCATCCTAGTCCCCAGTTTGAATCTGACATTTTTCTTTTTCTGCTTTGTGAAACGACTAATGAGATGTGGGTTTTTTAAGTAATTTAATAAACAAGATATTCATGCAGCTGGTTTTGATTGGTTTGACAAATTATGTAGTCCATAAGTCCTAATCATGAATTACATATGTAATATGTAATATTTAATATGTAATATAGGGATCACATATTAGATATGTCATGCAAAAAATTTGCTGGAACCAGTCATTATTGGGAAAAGCTCTGACCTTTTCCTTAGCTCTCACTGTGCATCCTCAGACTGTTGGCCTCGAGCCTGAGGAGAAGTGTTGAACTTCTACCATGGTTTGTTCAGGAAGCTAAAGAAACTTCTCCGGAAAAGGAAATCAGAACTGACCTCCAAACAAGAAGAGGAGCTCCACAAAACTCTGAAGCGCTATGAGAAAGATCATGTCCTGGGTCCTTTTGTTGGCATCAACCCTGAGTACATGGAGATGAGTGAGTAATATATATATATATATATATTTATACATACTGTATATATATACATATATTTACATCTTTGTTCAGATCAAAGTGTATCTAAAGACTTTTTCGTTTGCTGACTGGGTTTCATTAAATTTCTTTATTTTGACTCAGAGTCAAAGTAACTATTGATTGTAATCTAATCATCATATTGTCCAAATGCAAAATGTTCTTATTTCTTCAGAGTGAGATGTTTACCGACATTTCCTTGGTGTTTACCTCTGAGCTGGATGACTTTGCTCAAACCTTTTGGGTTTCTTTCCAGCAGGAATTTGCTGGATTCCTCCTGATGGAACTGGAGGAACTGGGTCAAGTTCGTAGACCAAATTGCTCACAAATCAGTTTGCAGCTCATCTGACAAATTTTAATGAGATTGATCAGGGCTCTATAACCACTGCAATCTATTCAGATTGTTGTTCTTTAATTCCAATGTCTATTTACAAAATCTGTTGACGTTTTTAAACCCATTCATTCCCAGACTAACTTTCTGTCTTATAGCTTGAGACTTTGTTTCAGTTTTTCCACATTGTTTTTTTCTCATCATGCCATCCATTCAGAGGTGGTCCGAGCCTGTTTGGTACCCTGGGCGCACCACCTTCCCGATGCTGTTCTGTTTTTATTCAGTATATGTAAATCAACAGTTTCAACATTAAATGTGTTGGACTAAATACTCCAGAGAATCAATATAGTTTCCACTTGGAAGTTGTTCAATGAGTCCAGAGTTACTGATCATTTGTGTTTAATATTTAAAATAAGAGAGTTTATCATAACACCTTTCAGTCAGCAGCTAGAAGGAGTCAAGTCTACAGTAAGCTGGGACATCAACATTGTTGTGAAGAAGGTTTCTGCAGGCAGATGTTTCTGCTGTGCACACACTTTCCATGATCAACATTTAGCTAAATGTTTCTGACAACCCACTGGTTCAAAACCTCGAGATCAAGACACCTTGGATCCATCTTTTTATATCAGACTCTCAGAGCTGGAGTGAGACTCAGTTATGTCATTGTTGCAATGCTTGGGCCTCTTCTTTTTTCATTGTCTCTGACAGCGCTGAAGAATCCATGCAGGAAAACTTTGCAGTATATAGGAACATAGAACATGTGATCAGATTTTCACAATAAAACCACAGCATAAATTGACTCCAGTTGCTGTTTTACACTGAAACAGCCTCACAGGCACATAATCAAGGCTTTTTCCATGTCATTGCAAGTTTTAGATGGGATATTAATATGAGATTAAAGTAGAGCTTTTTAGCTGCTTATTTTTTTATCCAGTGTTGTTCAGATTGAGCGGAATTAAGATGAAATAATCCTCCGGATGTCTGAAGTCGTAATCTTTTTGTTCATTCTAAAAATATTGTCTTTGTTTATAGATGTGAATATTCACTTTTTCTGTTTTTACAATAAACAGAATCTGTCAAACAGAACCTTTAGGTTTACTTTATCTGATGATATTTTTTCGTTTTTCCATAGCTTGCATGTTACCCAGATTGCTGCTGACAGGCCTGTGGCCCACAGTACATGTCTCTTCCATTTCCCGTCTTCAGTGTTAGAGGAATCTCTGAAAATGACATTTTGGACATTTCACCCACTATTTGTCTCCTCAGTTATCCAGTTTGGCATGGTGACGCTCTTTGTGGCCTCCTTCCCTCTGGCGCCGCTCTTTGCTCTTCTGAATAACATCATTGAAATCCGGCTGGATGCCAAGAAGTTTGTGTTGGAGCTGCGGAGGCCAATTGCAGCCAAAGCCAAGGACATTGGTATGTTTCTGAAACATCAGCTGAGTATGAGGCGGGAAATCCAATCAGTGCTAACAGGGGTTCATGTGGGATATACAGTTTGACTGTAATATTAAATAGAATCCATTAGAAACATATCTGGTACAATGTTCCCTCTAAGCTGCGCGCCTGCGCAATCGCGCACTGCTCACATATTCTCAGCGCACAAGAAAATCTATGTAGCGCATAAAATAAAGTCCAACGTAAAGTGGACATTGAGCTCAGACATCAGTTTTGACTATGGACCAATAAATTTTTTTTTTCCGTACTACTTTGCGATCGAACTCAATGAGTGACAGGAATCCAGCCAATGATACGATACGGTTCACTTTCGCTACACAGCCAATCAGCGCATGCTGATTGGCTGTGTGTACGTGGGTTACGTGCCTTGGTCATATGCGCCGTGCAGGTGAGAATAGTGCGGTAGAGTTAAGAAACGTGAAAGCCATCACCTTATCATGTCTACGTGGGACATCCACTCACCAAGCCAAAGTAAAAAAAAAAAAAGAGATGCACTTCTTCTAAGATCAAATGGAATCAAATCAAATGAAAGGAATTGTCTGCATTTGATATTGAAATGTTGAGTTCAGACTTTGGACTATGGATAAGCAGACATTTGTACACTGGCAGAGAAGTATGAGGCCATTCTCCTCCACCCACAGATTATGGAGGCCATTAACAGTCAATATGCTGAATTTAAGTACATAAGAAGCAGACTGACCATCAACCTGGGCTAAGTGTACAACCACTGGAGAAGTGAGAAGAAGTGAAACTGTAAACTGTAATTAAATATTTTACAAGAATTTATACTGCATCACAAGCTACAGAAAACATTTCATTGTGCAAAATGTGAATGTTTTAATATGAACAAACATTTATGTCTGAAAGGTGTAATGTCTCATTTCTCACCCTGGCTGAAGCAGGACTCTTACTTATAGCATGCATCTCATGAACAGCAATGTTTTCTTTTCTTTTTTTATTTTAATTGAGCAAATCACTTAAATTAAAAGCAAATGAATGAAAATTGCTGATGTAATTTGATTTTTTTAATAAGCCATGCAACTTTTTATGATCCCAGATTTATGATACTTGTGCGTGGCCACGCCATGTACACTGATGATGCTCACAGTGGTCCGCAGTGTGCCCAGGAAGCTTGTGTGTATGCCCAGACACATGAAAAATTAGAGGGAACATTGATCTGGTGTCATATGCATGTTTTTTTAAGCAAATTGGAAAGATTAAGAGAGAGTGAGCTGCCCAGGGTTAAAAAATTCTTTATAGCTTAAAAAAAAAAAAAAAAAAAAACCTAACACCAACACATCTTATGTAACTTTGATTTCGGAAGGGCAAACAATTAACTGAAATAGTCCAAATGTCCATCTAATGGATGCCATACTTTATGTTTGTGGAACATTGAGTGCAGAAAGCATTTAACTGTAAGGAAAGTAAAGGACAGTAGTTCAAGAATTAAGACAGAAATGTCCTCTGATGTCCACCAGGGAAGCTCTACTGTGTCATCTCCAAGGACAAAACATTAGATGTCTTCATATCTATAAATTTGACTGAAATATTATACACTGATTTCTATTTGAGGGAAATAAAAAAAGTTTTACTAATTTTGAATTAATTCTATGAGTAATACTAATTTTCTGAAGGGTTATTAAAATGATAAAATAGTTGAAATAGAATCCTAACATGATGAACATGATGCTTTCTAGCATCATGTTCATTCTCCACTCTGATCCAGAGAGTATGTCCACCGTCTAGTTGTGAGTTTTCTATGTGTGCTGTTAATGACGGTTCTTACTTTCTCCAGGTATCTGGTACAACCTGCTGAGGGGCCTCAGCAAGGTGGCTGTCATTGTAAATGTAAGTCTTACTTCTCTTTATCAGTGAAGTTTATGCTGCACATTGGATTTAATTAGGATAAAACTTTCCTGTGATGCTTATGATGGTTCTCTTAGAAATGAATCTTGTCATTAAACTCTTTGCTGCTCATTGAAACAGCAAAGTAGCTACAGAGTGTTTCTCTTTCCCAGGCTTTTGTCATCGCCTTCACATCTGACTTTGTCCCTCGGCTCGTCTACCAGTACACCTACAGTCCTGATGGGACTATGCATGGCTTTGTCAACCACACACTGTCATATTTCAACGTCAGTGACTTTCAGAAGGGTACAGAACCAACTATCCCTAAGTTTGATGTACAGGTCTGCAGGTAAGGTCTAGAATAATATGAGCCTTATTTTAGACAGAAGTCCAGTGTCCCACCTCTAGTTGTTTCTAAAGGAGAATCAGTGGAGGGTGTTCAGTGTTATAAGAACCTGGCTGCCAGGATTACTGGGAATAAAGGACCTGATCTAACAGAAACATTCCTTGTTCCCCTATTCTCTCAGTTTGAGGAATGAAATTCAGAACCTGTCAACAGATGGAAAGTCTTCCATTACTCAGATTATTATTCCGATAACAATTTTCTGATCATTTTTAACCAATATTTGTGCTGACCATGTTCCCTGAAGTTTTCTTTATGTTGTTGTAGAGTGATTGTTTCTGCTTTATGGTTTTCATCTTGCTGCAAGGAAAGGTTTACTGTGGTGACTGTGATGGTCCGACCAGCAAACTCAAGGACAAAGGCATAAAAAAAATAACTATTTAATTTTTCAAAGAGTTTAAAGATTTTTTTTACAACAAATTTCAAAAAGAAATATAAGAAAAATGGGCCCAAAAAATAATCAACTAAAGCATACCAACTCAAACAAAACTAACTGACTCTTCTCAATGAACACACAGGGGAATTTATATACAAAGGCTAGCCTACACACACACACACACAAGGAGGGGTGGGGGAGCAAACAAAAACAACCAATACATAAACATAAATAAATTCAAATCACAACATTTTACTTTAACACAACTATAAAACAAAACAACCTAACACCATAAATATTATAACAATAGAGTGAGAGGAAGATGTCAATAGGGCGAGAGGAGGAGTCTTCCACATCAAATTCCCTGCTTCCCGCAGCCTGATGGTTGGTTCCAATTACTGGTTTGAGACAATCAACTCCTCCCAGGGGTGGGGGAACAAACAGAAGCAACCAATAGATAAACATAAATAAATTCAAATCACAACATTTTACTTTAACACAACTATAAAACAAAACAACCTAACACCATAAATATTATAACAATAGAGTGAGAGGAAGATGTCAATAGGGCGAGAGGAGGAGTCTTCCACATCAAATTCCCTGCTTCCCGCAGCCTGATGGTTGGTTCCAATTACTGGTTTGAGACAATCAACTCCTCCCAGCCAGTCCTCCCATTCAACCAAAAACAAAATAATTAATATTCTAAATAAACCAAGCGTTTACTAAAATGTGTGCACCCAATCTAGTAAACAACTTAATACCAAAACCCACCAAAGAAAAAGTGATATAACCAATATAAATATTATCAATATAAAACATTAACTAAATACTAACACTAAAGAAAAGAACACTTAACACTGAGAAGATGGAGGAACCTCCACAGTGACAATAATGAAGAGATTCCAAAGCCTTCAAACAGAGCGTCAAGCCTTCAGTGATTTACTGTGTTTTTGCTTGTGTAGGTATAAGGATTACAGAGAGCCTCCCTGGTCCAACACACCGTATGAACTGTCCAAGGAATTCTGGGCCATTCTGGCCGTCCGCCTCGCCTTCGTTATCGTCTTCCAGGTTTGGAACACATAAATAATGCCATCAGTGCATTTGCAGCAGGCTTTCAAAAAGCCAATAACCTCACTCATGTCATTCATATTTAATGTAAGCAAATCAAACCAGTCAATCACAAGGTGTTCACAGCTTCCAAAGAACACAGAATGATTGAGTTGAATGGATTAGAAAAGCCTTCTCAGACTGCAGACTGTGGGAGTAACCAGGGCATTGCAGATTTCTTTATCTTTTAAATGAGCACAGTGGATTGACTGAACATGATGGTGCAGATTCCAGAATGAGATGCTTTTTAGAAGAAACACCTCACAGTGACTAGTAACCCAGCTAATTGATAAAAGTTTGACATTTTTATTGGTAAATTGTACTCTTTTTTTATATTTCTTAAATCTATTCTCACTATTCTTGTTGCCATGGCACCACCCTGTTTGGCTGCGGCTGCAACAGGTCCTGAAAATATTGAACTTATAAAGACATTTATAGAGACTAATAGAAACAGAAACAGAAAACCTCCAGTATAATAATGGCAGGATAAAATATGATCATCAGTGCATCTTAAATCTATGCATATCTTGCATAGTACAAACAGTACTATGCAAGATATGTGCTTTCTGTACATATCTTGCAGCCAAAGCCAAGGACATTGGTATGTTTCTGAAACATCAGCTGAGTATGAGGTGTGAAATCCAATCAGTGCTAACAGGGGTTCATGTGGGATATACAGTTTGACTGTAATATTAAATAGAATCCATTTAACTCTGGATAGCCTTGGACTGTTATGTCAGCCAGAGCCAGTGACCCACGAAGCAGTGAATGCTGCTGCACCTGGAGGAGACTCTGCAAGCGCAGAGAGGACTAGCAGTGAAGCTAAAGTGTAACCCTTGGAGAACACTACTTCCAGCTATGTTGCTCGCTAACGTTCAGTCTCTGGAGAACAAAGTAGGTTACTTAAAGCTGGATGTAACATCAAATCTGAGACATGGCTACGCTCCTTTATTTCTGATGATGTGGGGATGACAACATTCCGTTTGGTCAGTGGTAAAAGCAGATTGGGCGGTGTTTGCATCTACACTAATAACAGTCTGTCCTGGGAGGACCATCTGATTCAGCTACAGGAGGTGCACCACCACATCAGATTGGCTGGACTTCTCCAGCCAATCTGATGTGGTGCTTATTAACTCCAAGAAGTGTACTGTAATCCAGAGAGAAGTGGAGTATTTGGGTTCCACCTCATTCTGCCTCAACTTTCATCTCCACTGTAAATCCAGCCGCAAAAGGCCGCCTTGTTACAAGGCTCAAATACACTGGATAGAGCCTATACAAATATTAAAGCAGCATTCAAAGCAGTACCTTTCCCCCACCTTGGCTTATCAGACCATCTTTCTGTAATGCTAATTCCTGCATATGAGCCCCTGCTCATCAGAGGAAAACCCCTTGAGAAGCAGGTGAGAATTTGGCCTGCAGGATCCGTGTCAGCATTGCAGGACTGTTTTTAATGCACAGACGGCGACATGTTCAGGGAAGCTACAACTGCAAACAATCACACTCATGTTGAGTAGTATGGCAAATCAGTGTCTACGTACATCCTGAAGTGCATGGATGACGTCTCTGTGACAAAGATCATCACCACAAGGGCAACTCAGAAAGCCTGGATGATGAAGGAGGTGCATAAGATGCAGAAGGCACAAAATATGGAGACAGAGAGTTTCTCAGGTGAGCCAGAGCCGACCTAAACTGTGCCATCAGAGTTGCAAAATGTGCCTATGTTCAGAAAATTCAGTAATTTTCAACGAATCAGCAAACACCAAGCGTATGTAGCAACCTTTCAGGACAATCACAGACTACAAGACTGCTCCTTTGTCTTGTGACGATGGTGCAGACTTTCTGAATGCACTTTGGTCATTTTGAAGCCCTCAACTACACTGCTGTGAGAAAATCCACTCCTCAACCAGGTGAACAGATACTCAGTTTGGAGACAGCTGATGTTTTGAGGACCTTGAGAAGACTTGACATGCTTTATGCATGCAGAATCTTGATAACATACAAGGTCTGGTTCTCAAGAACTGTGCTAACCAGCTGGCTCACATCCTCACTGGCATCTCACAAAGCAGTGCTGTCATTCCATTCTGCTTCAAGATGGCCATCATCATTCCAATGCCCAAACAACCCACGATTTCATCACTGAATGACTATCACCCTGCTGCACTCACTCCCATCACAATAAAATGTTTTGATAAGCTGGTGAAGGATCACGTCATCTCAAAACTTCCCTCCTCTTTTGATCTTCTCCAGTTTGCATGTCACTCCAGCTGTTGCGCAGAGGACGCTGTTTCCACCACACGGCACCTGATCCTGAAACATCTGGAGGAGAAGAACACTCATGTGTGTGAATGCTGTATCTGGACTTCGGCTCAGCATTCAACACAATTATTCCCCAGCACCTGGTGGGAAAACTAGCTCTCCTTGGGTTCTACACATCCCTGTGCAAATGGCTACTGGATTTCCTCAGAGACAGACCCCAGCCTATGAGGGCTGGTAAAAATACAAGTCTCCCTCTACACTGGCTCCCCCTTTCTGTGTACTGATCCCACTGCTCTTCACCTTGACGACCCATTAGGAACCACATCATCAAGCATGCAGACGATACAACAGTGGTGGGTCTCATCAGGGACAACAATGAACTGACCTACAGAGAGGAGGAGACACATCTGGTGGGCAAACCATCTAATCCTGAATGTCAACAAAATGAAAGAAACTGTTGTTGATTTCAGGAAAAATAGGCCAATTCACACCCCTTCTTATCAATGATGCTGCAGTGGAGCAGGTCAGGACATACAGATCTCTGACACTTTGACCTGGTCTCTCCAAGTCTCTGGTCTGGTGAAGAAAGCTCAGTAATGTCTGGACTTTTTATGTCAGATGATGTAAAAATCCTCCTCCCATTTTCACCACAGAGGAACAATAGAGAGTGTACTTGATTGTCAGCAGCTGCATGGCTGCATGGTTTGGAGCATAAAACACCTGTGACTGGCAATATGTATAGAGAGAGGTGATGAGGACAGTGAAGAAAATCATTGACACTTGGCTTCCTTCCATACTTGACACTGCTCACTGTTGCCGCCTGTCCAGGGCTTGGCGATAAGACCACCTCTACTTTCACTATCTCTTGTTGGCTGCAAGAGAAGACGTAGGCCTTTACTGAAAGTAGAAAAACAGTTTTACACTTTGAAGTCCATCAGGGTAATGAAATCCAACAAATTAAAAAAAAGCTCAATATTTTGTCCATAAATTGGACCCAAACGGGCCTGTATGATCATAAACTACAGTTGTAAAAGAAAGAGTTCCTTGCAGGTTTTTCCACAATAACTTCTTATACATCACATTTCAGCATCTAAAGCTTTACTCGTGTAATCATGTCAAAACCAGGGTGAATAAAAATTTTTCCTCTTTAAATACTCTACAGCTCCTGAAGAATCACTAAAGGTCTCATCTTACTGTCCACAAGAAGTGGACTTTACTAAAGGCATCATAGTGACTTAGAACATATTTGCTAAAACGTTCATTTCAGAATTTTCACATTGACTTTATTTGTGCTGCATGTAGTCTGTGGCAGCTTTAATATTGGGTCTCACTAAGAAACCTGAAATATATTCAGTGATGTAAACTCTGGTGTTTGTGTTCATGCAGAACGTGGTGATGCTCATGAGCGACTTTGTGGACTGGCTCATCCCGGACATCCCCAAGGACATCAGCTTCCAGATCCACAAGGAGAAGCTTCTCATGTTGGACCATTTTATGAAAGAAGAAGGGAGAAGACGAGACAATCACAACTATGACAGATACACCAGCCCCTCGTCGGGTAATGCCAGCCCCAAACAGCCCCGTTCACGCCCCACTTTCCATGCAAGAGCTGGCTGGTAACGTTTCATCATCGGCAAGGCTTCTCCTGCATTTCCATTGATTGGAAATTTTAAAATATCCCTGATTTCATCCCGTCAGAATTCTGTCACTGGATGGTTTGCCAGAACTTTCCATCTTAGATGTTATTCATATCACACCCTCAGTCACTGACCAAGAACTCTGTAAATGGCGTCCTGTCGCCGATGCACAAATCTGCCAAACTTATTCATTAGAGAGGAAGAAGCCATTAAGGGTCACGGCGGGACCAAGGTCAGGTTTACTCTGAGGAAGCTGTGCCACCTCTGCCATGGGACCAACTCCTTTCAATCTGACAATCTGAAACTCCGTCCAAACGATTATTGTTTTTTTCCTTATCTTATTTCTGGGAATGGTATCCAGATATCCTGAGATGTATCCAACTTCTTTGTTGGACATAAGTGTACAAACACAGGGATTTATTGACCTATGTTTTAAAACATTTAGGATGTACTTGCACATGCACATTGATATCAGAATTAGAAGCTGGTATCAAATGGCTTTTGGCATCTTTTTCTTCAATAATTACTCATATGTTATAAACACTCTGTGGTGTTGGGCTTCAAGTGTAGCTGTAGATTTTATGTGCCAGGAGAAAGGGAACCATCATTATTGAGGTAGATGTGAATAGTTTTAATGCCTGATTAACTTTAGTCTGTTGAGAGCAACAAGTTTATAATAATTACTATTTTTAACATTTATCATAAGCATTTTAGCAGACAGTAAAAAGCACATGATATTCTGCTTGTTTGTGATTGTTTTACTTGAAGAACACAAAACAAATGACTTCAGGACCTTTAATGTTGCTAACTTTGGATGTAGAGTTTCAGATAGTAGAAATCATATCAGAAGTTAGTCAAGCATTTTCTCTATGAAGATTCAAAAACTTTCTAGAAAATGATAAAAGCAAAAGAAAAACAAGCTTTTCCAAATACTAAACACACTCACATGAGGCGGCTGTGTTTATGTCTAATTTCTTACCTTCAGCATTAGTAAAGATTGATTGAAAATGAAATTATGAAATAACTGTATATTGGAAAAACACTGTTAACTTTTGTTTTAGATTTAACTTTGTTACAGTGGATTTTCCATTTGCTCACCTTAAAGACTTTTGTAACATAAAGCTAAAAATAGAATCCATCTTTCAGGCTGCAGAAAAACTGGAATTTCAACTGAAAAACATCTGAGTGTTTTGAAGGTAAAAATTCTTTAATGTATCAGAAACGGTGCTAAAATTATATTTAGCTATGTGATTATATTCAATGTGTGTGTTGACTAAACCAATATTATACATAACCAAAAGGTCAATTACACCATAAAAATGTTGTGCAGCTCCAGCTCTTCTCAGCCTTCAGTCTGAACGCAAAGCGAGGATCACCAGAACTAACTCTGCCTTATAATCTACAAACTGGGATTGAAACAGTTAACTGATTAACTTATCGTCCACCCATCCAATGTGCCGCTGTATACCAGTGAAACCTGATGAAGCAGGGCTTTTTCATCATTATCTTGCCTTATATTCAGTACATAAAATAATTTTTGATTTGACTGTAGTCTGCATCCTTTTACCTGTCTTTTCTCAAAGACTGAATAGTTTTGTGTTTTTCTAATTGCTAAAGCAAAATGTGGGAGTGACTGGAAATTGCACCGAAGAGTGGAAGTGGAATAGGGTCAGTGTGTACTGTCCGACCAATCTCTAACTGAGGGATTCAAGCAGTTCTTATTTCAGCTCCTGCCTCAGACTGATGGAATGTATTTGGTTTTTTTGTTATAAAATTATGTGAAATGCATTCGAAATAGAAATGTTGTCTTTTGATTAGATTAGCATGACGTTCCACATATTAAAGGGACCAATGACATAACAAACTTTTATTCATCTCACTTGGTGTTAACACTCAAGAAGAAACCATCAGATGATCTGTTTGCTGTGTAGAAAAGCCTGGACAAGCACATCATTTTCAAACATCTTGTCAGAAGAAATGTTCCAATCTTTTTAATGAAATATTCTTCCTGTTTTTTTTCCTACATGTTTACATATTTTGAGGATGCTATACAGTAATAGTATAGAACAGGAACAGTATGTAAGAGCCTCGTTAAGCACAAGTGCTTCTGGTCAGATTCAACCTTGCCCCATGCCCTTTTCCTTGTCTCTCATTGGTTGTATTGAACAATTGTTGTAAAATGATTGTCTGTTTTAGTGTGTGCCAAAGCTCTTTTTCAACAAGGGTGAGAGTATCTGCATGTGAAACCAACAACTTTGTCTTTTATATTGTCTTTCTTGTTTGATCATATTTAGGATGTGCAAATAAACCATGGTTCCCAATGCTGAGGTTTGTGGGCTTTGTCCTGATTGTGGCTTTATTCATATGATCAACTGTATTTTCTTGGAATGAACAGAGTTAAACATTTTCATAAACAGTTTTGCCAAAAGTGGTTCACAACTATGACAGGCGAGTTGTGATAATGGCAATAAGGCCTTCTGATCTCCAAGGTTCTGAAGCTGAACACTAAGTGGTCAGAGTCCTGGGTGGATGTGGCGTCAAACTGTGGATTATCATCACTGTACCTCCGGGTTTCTGCAGAAATGCTTCAGACGTTATCATGGTCATTCAGGTGATCGGTTGTCTCTTTCAGAAGCAGATGCTGGTCCACTAATATATGTGTTGAATACCAAAAATGTTCAACACATACATGATAGTCACTTCCCCTTGGGACCAATTTCTATTCTTCTTCAGAATGTATCATAAATTAGTTTCAACTATAAAACTATCAATGTTTATGCATGTGTATTGTATTTATAAAAGTCTGTAAACTAAAAATTAAATAAATTAAATTAATTAATTAAAAAAATTAAATTTGAAATCCTTGAAAGAAAACCTGGATCTAAGATTCCCAGACAAAAACCAGGATGGTTAACAAATCATTGATTGTCAATCAGTTTATTCACTTCATTTAACAAATGTCGTCAAGTCACAAACATTATTTACTGTACACAACATGTACAGGTATGCAGTGTGTCCCCTCAACCATTAGTCAACCAAAACTCAAATCGGTTTATTTATGTGGTGTAGTTCACAGAAAGCCCCTTTCCAAGCCAACTTACAGAACAAATAACCAGCTCTATCACAAAGACTTCAGTTTAATTCTGTAGATGGTAAAAAGTTTTCTATTATCAGGGAAGCCACTGTTTAAGACAAGTATATTCAGGTATTAGATGTGACTTTGAAGGACCTACTTTATCATCTCCTTATTTCTATAAACAGAAAAATACGTTTTTCTCCTCTCTAGCAGAGGCGAAACATTGACTAAATTATTAAAAATGCCTCCAATAAAGAGTCAGGAGTTTAGCTTGGTTTGAGGTAATAGATTCTGATTTATGTTTAGAAGATTATTTTAAGGAAATTAATAAGGATTTCCTTATTAATCCTTCTCAGATGAATAAGGATCTAAGATTGCTGTGTTTATTGATGTAGAAAAGCATACAATATGTTATGGAGAGAAGGGTTAATGATTAAATTACATCAGATAGGTAGGAGGTAATATGTTTTATTGGTTATAGGATTTTTTATGAACTATTCAAGTCAAAATATGATCTCACGTTTCACAACCATGTAAAGTAGAAAATGACAATGATATTTTTAAAAAATTATCAATTAGTTTTGGAAAAACACTTTTTGATAATGATGGAGCATTATGGAAAAGGGGAAGAAATGTAGAATTTCTTATTTCTAAACTTCAGGAGGCATAGATAAAGTGGGTAAGTGGGGTTTTAAATTTTCGATTGAGAAGACAAAAGTAATGTTTTTTACAAATAAAAACATGGGGTTGATAAAAAGTTGTATTTATATGGGAAAGAGTTAGAAAGGGTTAATTGTTTTTATTTTTTGGGAGAAGTTTTTTTTCTTTTCAAAAGAAACTGACTTGGGAAAATCACATAAACATATGGAGAAAAGTAAAAAGGTTCTTAACATTATGAGTGGTTTACCTGGGTTTATGTGTCACTAATTCAGTCAAGAATCGATTGCGGAAGTGTGGTGGATGGTTCAGCGGCTAAAACTAGGTTAAAAAAAGTAGATGTTATTCAAGCTAGTGCATTGAGAATTTGTTTAGGGACAATTAAATCAACTCTAATATGTGCTTTACAAATAGAATCAAAAGAAACGCCACTATGTATCAGAAGACAACAGATCATGGTTAATTACTGGATAAATTTAAAAGGACATAATGAAGATCATCCAGTTAAGAAATATTGGAAAATTGTTGGAAAGAGGAAGGAGCAAAGTAATAGTTTTGGGTGGGTTGGGGATGCCAGAGCAAAAACACTGAATGTATAGAAGAAAGAATTTAGTCCAACAGTATTGTGGCCTTTGAGACCTACATGGACATAGAAATATATTAATATAGACAGAAGAACAGTATCAAATATTAAGGAAAGAAATCTAACAGATATTTTCCAAGAATTTTATAATCAAATGCAAAATAAATATTATGATTACTTGTAAATTTATACTGATGGTTCGAAAGACCCAAAAAATGAAGCAACCAGTATAGCAGTAGCGATTCTTGAATTAAAGATAAATATTTCAAAAAGAACATCTAACTGTCTCAGTATATATGCAGTAGAATTATGTGCTATATCATTAGCTTTAGAATGGCTGGAAGATACTAATATAAATTAAATAATAATAAATAATTATTCATCATCTGCATTGTTGAGTATTGAAAAAAAATAATCACAATATATTATATGCAGTTATGGCTGGTCATCACAGAATATGTGAACAAAATAAAAATGTAATATTATTTTGGACTCCTGGTCATGTTGGTATTTTGGGTGATGAAAGAGCAGAAAGGTTGGGTAAAGAGGCTATTAACAAATAAGATATTGATATACCAATAAAGTTATCTAAATATGGAAGCAAAAGTACAATTTGGAAAGAAGATATGGAAAATTAGGAGGGATAATGAATTAAATAGAAGCATATAAGGATACAAAATCCAGTTGGTGTAGTAAAGATCAGAGGAATAAACAGGAGGGAGGAGACGACTATAAAGAACTGGTCACAATTTTTAAATGGGGAAACATCTTACTGGTTTATGGAGTTGGTGTAATACTGTAGAAATGATGGACATGTTTTTATTAGTTGTTTGATTTTCAATGATCAATAATCAGAAGATTACTGAGTATCTTATAATGGGGGTTCCTCTCAGCTCGAAGAGGAACGCCCATCCTGACCCTGAACCAACCAGCAGGCGGAAGTGACTGGAACGAGCTGCTGGGTCAGGATCACAGGCGGCGGAGACATGAGCGCTTCAAACTTTATGTCCGTTCTGCTGGACATTTCAAATAAGCTCAAAGAGGAAAACCTAAAACAACTCAAATTTCTAGTTCGAGACGACATTGGGAAACAAAAGTTGGAAAAGATCACAACGGGACACCAACTGTTTGAGATTCTGACGGAAAGAGGCCAACTCGGACCCGACAGAGCAGACTATCTCTGCCAGCTTCTGAGGCAGGTCCAGCGAGATGATCTGTCCGAGAAGCTGAGCAACTGGCAGGTCCAGCAAGAAAGTCTCAAATACAACTTGAGCGACACCGAGAGAGGTAAAGACACTTGGAGAACTCGGTTTCACTTTCTGTCCTGGTCAGGCCAGAAAGTGTTCAGTTACTGTAACACCAGAGGGCGCTGTTCGGTAGCTGGGCTGAGAAACGACATTTATCAGAAAATGTCTTTAAGTTGAAGCAAAAAACATGAAACCTTTTTCATGTGACTGACTTTATTGTCCAGTATATGAATCATTTTACCACAAAATGACGCATCAGGAATAACATCTTGACAGTTTGTTATCTGGGGGAAAAAAATGACCAAACTGGAGCTTAAAGGAACCCTGCTGGGATTTCCTTCCTGAAGTCATGTTAACACCAAGTTAATGTTAGATTCAACCTAAGAGCCTTTATATGTGCCAGACAATAACATGTCTGTCAGTGTGTCTCAAGGCAGATCACAATACAACTATAAAATTGTGTTTTAGTCCACTGTTATGATCTAAAGAAAATTGTTCTCACAACCAGGAAAATCTGTCCAGGTTGCATGTCAGTAAGGATGTCAGTATCGGATCTGAACATGGTACCAAACAAATAAGCTCTTCAGTTTATTTGAGCTTATTAAACTCATCAAAAAAAGAGCTTATTTGTTTGATGTTGCCATCCAGGTTTAGTTAGATGGCAACAAAAACATTGGATTTAATTACAGAAAATAATCATTATAACACTAGCAAATTGATTTGATTTCCATGGGAGTAAAATGTGGAAATATAAAAGACATAAACTGGGAAGGAATTTGTAGTAACGTTACAACAAAATAAGGGAAAAAAGAATATGCAAGTGCTTCTGTCATAATGTATCTATTAAATAGTTTATGTAAAATCAACTACAGAGCTTTTATGTGTCTTCTGAATTGGTTGTTTAAAGTTCAAAAACCTACTTCTATCCATATTATAGCATTTGGAGTATACTGTAATCAATTATTAATCAAGATTAGCATCAGTATTGTTTTTTTTCCCTCAAGACAAACTAGAAATTGCCATGGAGGTGATCAGAGACAACCTGGGGAAGAACTGGCGCAAACTCGGCCGCAAACTACAACTGGGGGAGACCAAGCTGGACTCCATTGCCACACGGCATCCCACTGATCTGGAGGAGACCGCCCTGGAGCTGCTGAAGGAGTGGAAGAAGATTAGAGGACCTGAACTCCAGACAAAGGAGCTGATAGCAGCTCTGAGAGACTGTCAGCTCAATTTAACTGCTGATAAAATCCAGGATAAACTTGAGATGAAGGGATTAGCCATCTCAGATTAGAACAGCATCACCTTAGAGGCACAGAGGAAACCTGGTACTTTATGAAACAGATTATGTTTGTAGAAATGAACAAAATGATTTTTGTAAACATCTGCTTCCTAACAGTTGTCTAACATTTACTATATGCCAGTAATGCACTTCATTTACTGGAACACCAGAGGGCGCTGTAGGGTAGCTGGTTTATGTAAAAACATTATTACCGTTTATACATTAATTTCCTGATTTCCAATAAGGATAGGAAATATAAATGCAAACATTTCTATTGTTGTAATTTTTTTCAGCAACATAATTCATCAGTTTAGATTAGTTCAGAGAAATGTTCCCTTCATCAACAACAAACTGGATGTAAAGATGGATGATTTTTCTTTTCCCAATGGCCAAGAAGCATTGAAATGCTATTGTTTCAATAATTTAATAAAGATTTCAGACATATCTAACTGTTTTTTGAAGAATCCCCAGTTATCAAATGATAATCCAGTCCACCTCTTTTAGATTTTGGACTCCTGGATCCATTTTGTCAAAGATTCTTAGTCCTCCCAGAGAGGTGTTGTCTTAGCCTAAAAATTCCTGCAAAGGAGTCGCAGATTCAGACAGATTCAGTCAGCTGCCAAGAGACACCGAGAGAGGAGCTATTAAAAAAAACACAGAAAAAATGCTATTTTAATGAGGTGTTTTTAACCCTTTTTGCTAAATGTGTCATTATCTTCTCATTATGTGTTTAGTTGATACATGAGACAAAATGAAGTAAAGAAAATCTGCAGCAGTTGATAATTTACTGATCACACAGTTTAGACTGAATTTATGAAAATTGAGTCATGATGATGCAAAAACTTAAAATGAAATGAATTGCTAACCAGCATCAATATGTTTGATCCCACCTTACATTCACATCATTATTGTCATTTGTCACATTGTTCCTTTTTAGCTCCTCCTTTCCACTCTTAACATTGTGTCTTGTTAGTACCTCTCATAAGGCCTAAGACGCTCTGTGAATAGATTTTATTTTGACAAGCTGAAGTTCCTTATAAATTCTAAGAATTTTCATTTAGGGCTAAAGGTAGGAGATATTGTTAGTCTTAGGATACAAGCCCTGATAATGAAACATACACAAGATGGGAAGATGAATGGAGCCAAATAAAAGGCAATCCTGGAAATGAAATGAAGAGTCTTGATAACAGAACAGAGCTTCAAAACATAAACCTGAAGACTTTCAGCAGCTATTGTAAGAACACATGGTTTTACCAAACATCAACGCCTTCTGGCTGAATATAATACATGCCACACTTTTCAGATTACTTGAAAAAAGAAAAAAAATCAGTGCATAATTGTTTCACATTCATTTTATTACTTTATTTTATTTCTCAAAAAATCCTAATGAAATAAATTAAACTTTGTAACCTGAATGTAGCCACAGTCTGTTGGTAGTTCCAATTTCTTGCTAGTTAGAAAGCAGCTAATTATTGTTTTGGCCATGCTCTATTTGGTTTTTATTATAGTATATTATTATTGTAATTATTTCATCTCTATCAGTGAATATTTATTGTCAAATGAATTAGGTTATTAGCAGAACTCGACTGTATGCTGAGGGTTTTGTAGATATCAGGAGCATGAAAGCAGGAATGCATTAAAACATTGGTCATCAAGATCCGGAGTTTGGTTCCTCCGGCTTACTAATGCTCATTTATGTGAAGATATATGTTGCAGCCAATGTGTGTAATTTTGATCACTTCACTCTAGAAAATGTATAAAATCTCTGATTAAAAGTCCTGATTTAATGGCATTAAATTCCACACTGGGGATGTTGGCTTCTCACTAGAACTGCTGAGTGTTCAATCAAACCTTCTGCGCTAAATAGAAGCTTCATTATAATTGGATCGTGAAGAATGCTTCAACAGCTCTAATCATTTTGAATGAAACTTTATCTTTATTTCCAGTATTTTCTTTCTTCTCATTTTGCTTCACATTCACATCAGCATTTGATACTTTTGAGTTGGCAAATCCATGCCTCCTTCCTTTGCATGTTCTCAGGTCAACAGCTTTGTAGGTCACAGATGAAGTTTCTGCAAAACAAATTCACTTTAGTGATGGAGCTTTGTTGAACCAATGATAATAAACGTAGGGCAGCTGGTCTCTGACCATCAGTAACTGCTCAGTTAGATGCTAATGTTAACAGTATATGAAGAAAACAGCAACCCACAGTGGTAAAACACTTTTACCACCTCTTTGTTGTGGTTACTACTTTTCTAAGCATCAGAATGACCTTTACACAAATCGAACAGGCTACTGTTATGGTTGTTGACAGTAGATGGCAGTCGTCAGATGTGTGTAAACTATTTGTCAGGTTTGGTCAAACTATGCAAGAGATCCTCATATTTGATTATTTTTAGATCATCCGTTCTCCCCCAAAGCCTCAACAAATAAACAAAACTCTAATGTTTAGTTATCATCTGGTTTGATGTCAGTTTAAAATCCCTTAAGAACAGCTTTATAAAAGCTCTAAGCTGAGCTGAGAGCAGATAGGCTTCTTCATCTCATGTGTCAAACTGAGGAAGATCCACTTTTTTCTTCCCCTATGTTTAATCACACCACCTAGAGTACAGTGAGAATGATATAGTGGTAATAGTGTACAATTTATTACACTTACAGCATTTATAGAGTCTGTTCAGCCTGTCAATATCATTCTGGCTCATCTGTGTGGCCTTGCCAAAGGACACATTGCTGTAAGGAATGGGCTCCATGGTGGGAAGGTTGTTCTTGGAGAAGGCATACCTGAAGAGAGGCAAGTTCCACACAGACAGGTGATCACAGCCAACACTCCCACTCAACTCTTTAATGGGTAGAAATATCATTGAGGCTAAAATGCTACAGCTCAGCCATGAGTCTTCTTAGTAATGTCTAAGTCAGAGTGAGATGTCAGCCCTCCACAGACTCTTTGATTAGGCCTTGAAACAGCTGCTATTCTGGTGTATTCTAGCCTACTTTGCAGTGGAGAATTAGCTTTCTCCAATATGCATTTTCATATACTTCTAATTTATAGTAGCAGAAATTCAGTAGTGTTCTGTGTGAGCATGTGACAGAATTTCTAATGTTTTGATATTTTCTTTTATTAAAGATCCAATCAAGGACAACATCAACTTGTGACTATAAAACCTATGTTCAAAACAATGATTGCTCTGTGTCTCACATGTAACATGGTTTAACGTGCCGTTCTTGATTAAATAAATGTGAATTGGAAAAAATGACCTGCTGATTTAAAATCTACATTTAAAGAATCAAAATGGACTGGTGAAGGCAAATATTTTAAGTATATTTAATAAAAAAGCAAATTGTTTCTTTACCTCTCGTATTGCATGACAGAGTTGTAATCATAAGGAGTTCCCTGGTTCAGAGTGTTAATCTTATAGAAGTTGTACTCCATGCCTACAGACAATATAGGAGAGATGCATAGTTTTAGGTTTGACTGAAACAGGTTTCTGTGCCTCAGTGTAGAACTGGTACGGTCCAAACTACAGACTGGCTTGAAGTTCAGAGAGAAAAAAAATAGTATGAATACTGAGCATGCTGCACCTCTGCAGCATCTCAGCCACTTCTTTACATCATTCTGCTTCAAGACTTGTTCTGCTAAATGTTGCAGCACTTTGCATTCACAGCAACAGTGTCTAAGGACAGTCATTACTTTCATGTTTGCTCCATGTTTTTCTCATAAGAGTCATTAATAATGTGTAGGTTTACAAATTTAAACATTTAGATTTTATGAAAATATGCTTCTATAAACAGACTATGATTAATTGTAGCGTAATGCAAGCAAACATAATTAAAAATATAGTTAAAGAACATTAGATTGAATTGCACCCCATGTTCTAATCTGCCACCCGCTGGTTAGTTGGTGAGTCAGATTAGTTTTCTAGTTTGCCTTCATACATCCTGAAAACCTTTCCTTGGTAGAAAATCAATTTAGTTCCACTGGTTTCAATATCTCAGACTGATCAGGGGTTAGGCGCAGGCCGCTTCCAATTAGTGCACAGGGGGACAATGGAGCTAAAAAAAAACCTTTACAGAGACCTCACTCAGTCACAGTCATAATGAAGTGAAATAAAAAGATTGTTGAGCTCATCTCAACAATCTTTAAAGTATTGTCCCATCAGTGTATTTCAACCAGAGGACTACCAACTAACAACCAAGCTCTCATAAACCAGTGATGGGCAGTGGATGATGGAAGTGCGTCACCTTCAATGATGTTGTCCCAGTGCACTCTGATGTGGTTGTCCCTGTCAGAGCGAGTCTGCTCGTGGTTGAAGCCCAAGGCATGCAGCAGCTCATGCTGGACGGTGCTGTGGTACAGGCAGCCCTGGCGACTTAGAGACACCGTCTGACCTCCACCCACACGGCCCACATAGGAGTAGCAGCTGCAACCACACACTCAGCTCAGAAGTCCATTGCAACAGAAGCATCCAACATCCAACACTGCAGGAAACCTGATTTTGACTAACCAATCAGTTTTATACCAGCCCTGCAGATCCCAACCAGTAGGCTGATTAGCCAGTCTTAAGCTCATCTGAAAGTGTGGATTTTAGCTCAGCATTTAGAATTACCACTCTGAACTAGCATTCAATGAGGAAATAAACAAAAATGAGACGCACCCGTTCCTAGATTCAATGCTCAACCACTCATGGTCACCATTCTGGTAGGGCCTGAAGCGGATGCAGGAGACCATGGAAAACGACTCCAGCCCACGAACAATGATCTCTCTCTCTCTGTCAGCTGTCACCATCAGGAAACATTGAAATACCAGATCCATCAGGTACAGGTGGTTTCAGATCAGCTGTTCATCTTTGTGTTCTCAGTTCAGTGGGAAAACCAATGAGCTGCTGCTTACAGTAATGGTTAGCAATGTAGTAGGGGATGTAGACCTTCCCATCAGTGTATTTCAACCAGAGGCAACCATTGGAGGTGCAAGGGTCAGCATTTCTGTCCGCTTCAAACCGAACAGCAATGTCTCCTCCGATGAGAGCCGGTTCATCAAAGTCAGGAGCTGCCAGACACACACAGCTACAGTTACATCATTTGGTTGCATGACCAGGTATTTCCTTGGAGTGGATATTTTGTGCATCAGATAAATGTGAGCATTGCTGACTTTAGTGTTGACCTACTGCGATCTCTGTTGGCTCTCTCCAGGAGCTCACCAACAGACAGCTCCTGGGAGGTATCCACCTCCAGGCTAGCAACCTCTGTACGAAATGAAACATTTAGATAACACTCAAGAGCCTTTCAGCTTTAAAAACGAGAAAAGAGTGCTGATGATTTCTAACTTACCTTCCTGTCCTCAGTCACCACAGCACAAAAAAGGCAAAAAAGGATTGTTATACATGCATATCAGAGACGAGCTGTTGAATTAGCTTTTGTACCATCAGCTGAAAAAGTTGTGTTTTAAT